GGGCACCGTTTGCCCAGCGCCTTGTCCCAGAGAGTAAAGTTCGCGGGCTCTCGGCCCAGTGTAGGGGCAGGTCTGTGGCTGCAAGGTGGTATCGGCCATCTTGTCAGGCAGCATGGACTCGCCTGTGATGCCATCGTCGGTGCCATTATCGTCAGCATCGAGTTTGGTGAGGTCTTCCATGTCGGACATGTTCCAAACCAACACATTCCAGTCGGTGCCGTTCGCCCTAGAAACGAGGCAGATCTGCTTTGGGCGATCAAGGGCGCTGGTACCAACTTTGGCATCGTGATCAACGTGACGTTCCGAGTTTACACTGCCCCCATCTACCTTACGCGGAACTGGGTTGTCCCGCTAGACGACACCGCCAATGCACGATCTAGGCTCCGCGAGTTTGATGAGAGTGTCGCGAAGAAGCTTGAGCGCAATTGTTCTGCTGACGCATATCTCTACTACGACAGAGACAAGCTGCAACTGGGCGTGGCCACGATTGAGACCTTTACGTCAGTCGACGATGTGGAAGCGCCTGCAGTCATCGTAAACGGCGCAAGTGGTTCGGAGAGTGAGTACAAGATAGTGGATGGATCGGGCCTGTTCGAGACAGAAATGTACGTGTCTCAAATGCATGGTGGACATGCCGGCGGCAAGACTTCAGCATACAAGCGGTGCATTTTTCTCAAAAACATTGGGAAGGAACATATCGCTAGCCGGCTTGTGAAGTCCATGGATAGTCGCCCAACACCATTCTGCTACTTTCATTTGTTACACGGCGGTGGAGCGGTTAGCGACATCGCAGCCGATGCCACTGCATTTGGATGTCGAGATTGGGATTTCGCCTGCGTGATCACTGGTGTGTGGCCCCGTGATCAAGATGACACGGAGTTGTCAGGATCTGTGATTCAGTGGGTCTACGATGTCGCTGGAGATTTGCTACCTCTAGGCTGCGGAGCGTATGGCGCTGACCTTGGGCCTGATCCAAGAGACGCAACACTGGCAGCTAAAGCCTTCGGACCAAACCTGCGGCGGTTGATTCAGCTCAAAAGCGATGCCGATCCGAAGAATGTGCTGGCATATACTTGTCCATTTCCACGAGTGTCGGTACCAAAGCTCATCATTCTTGTCACGGGTGAAAGCTGCGCTGGGAAAGACTATTGTGCGAACGTTTGGGCTTCTACGATCAGCAAAGCCATTACCCATCTTTCGGCACGCACAGTCAGTATCAGCGATGCAACAAAGCGAGAGTACGCAGCTGTCCACAATGCTGACATCAAACTCTTACTTGAAGATCGCGATTACAAAGAGCTACATCGGCCGAGATTGACAGCTTTCTATCGAAAGCAGGTACAACAGCGACCAAGCCTTCCAGAGGAGCATTTTTGGGATGTGGTGCATGATTCTGTTGGTATCGACGTACTGCTAATTACCGGCATGAGAGATGAAGCACCTGTTCCGATATTCTCGCCTCTTGTGGCCGATAGCAGGCTGATTGAGGTTCGCATACAGTCAACCCTAGAGACGCAGCGTGCGCGTGGAGGAGTCGAAAAACCCGAGAGCTATGATCTCCGCGCGGAAGAGACAGTCAGAAATTACCGCCCCAGTCTCACCTTCCACAATGACGCAGCTGGCAGTCAGGCAGCAGATAAGTTCGCTAAAGACCACTTGCTCTTTTTTCTTCATCCTGAGTTGGAGGTACTAGCCTCTATGATATGTTCAGTGCCTGGTTTTCCTCGTCCAAAAATCAGCTTCCGCCATGTCCTCGGCATCTCCCAGCACCTTGGAGGTCTGGAATTGTGTACGAATCAGCTCCAACAGCACTTCAGCGGTGATTGGGAAAAAGTAGGCGCCATTGCGTGCTGTGAAGCCGGCGGCTACGTCTTTGCGTCGCCATTGGCATTGCGTACTAAAGTACCCCTACGGCTGATTCGAAAAGCGGGAAAACTTCCTCCACCCTGTATTTCTGTTACAAAGGCTGCATCACATATCTCGAAGATCCAAGAAGAAGAAAAGATTGAGATGGAGCGAGATGCGTTTGCAGATGGCAGGAATGTAGTGGTTGTGGATGATGTGCTTGCTACAGGGGAGACTCTTTGTGCAGTGTTGGGACTGTTAGAGAAGGCTGGTGTGAGTAAAAAGGAGATTAGTGTTATGGTTGTTGCCGAGTTTCCATTTCATCGTGGCCGGGACTTGTTGCGGCGAAGAGGGTTTGGTAATGTTTGTGTTCAAAGCCTTTTGGTTTTTGGTGGTGCTTGAAGACAGGATGGCGACAACGTGATGGATCTGCGAGAACGGCCTGGTGTGTAGTGTATTACGGTAGGAACACAAGACTCTGATGGTGAAGTGGTAATCACCTCTGTTTTCAAAGCGCACATGTCTTGTTATGGAAAAGCCCTAGTCATGAAGAGATTGAAAAGCGAGTTTGGGCAACAAGAAAGAACAGAACCCAGTAGTGCAGTTGGAAATGAACAATGACTGTTGCCAGTAATGACGCGCTCATGTGCGCTTTTCGAGATTGTTGTGCACACGGTAGTCTGGGACAAAGACGGCTCTTCTAGGTAAGTCCAAAGTAAAACCAAAGTCCTTGTGGTTATTCGAGAGCATGCCATGGCGCTGGCGCAGGCTACCAGTGGTGGTAGAAGTAGTAGTGTCGTGGTAGGGTAAGAGTCAAGATGAATGGTGCTAGTCTCTCTCTCGAGTGTGGTCAGAGACCTGGATTCATCTTCTGACAGCTCGGGAGAATGGTAGTCGAAGCATAGTGGAAGCAAGGTGAGTTGGCATAATGGACCGTTATTGTGTGAGGGGAATGTGTTTGCTCGTTCCCATCACTACTGAATCTGAAGTCGTGATAGACGACTGGCCGTGCACCGCGCTAGTGGATGGCTTCATACCCGATTCGGACAGACTCGCCAGCAAACCATGGTCGACGGCCGGTGGTATCAACAACAAGTGCATCCAGCTCTTTACCATGGAAACAAAGACAGAGGACATGTACATCACTTGCATCATCTCTGCATGTTCGTGATTTCAAAGAATCCAAGAGGACGATACTGTATGCAGCCATGACAACACGACTGCTCTTGCTCTCCGTTGCCCGTCTGCCTAAAGAAAAACGGGCATTCCAAGCATCGGGCGCGCAACACAACCATGATTGGCCCGTCCTCGCTTGCCTTGACCGCCCGCATCCTTGCCGCCCTCGCATTGCAGGCGCGCAGCAGGCAGAGCCCACCCCTCCCCCCTTCCACACCCTCAACAAACCCGCTCCGACACCTGCCTGCCAAACCCAAACCCCCCCCCCAACCTCTTTCATCGCAAAACATCGGTCTAGAGCCGCTTTCCATTACCTTTCCGCCCATCGTTTGGATGCGCGCGTCGAGGCGAATCTTTTGATCCCCATCTTGCGAGTTTTGGGACGCGTTTTGGGAGGGAAAAGTCGGCGTTCTTCGTCGCGGTACTTGGCCACCTGGCCCTGCTGCGCTGTCGCCCGCCCGCAGCCTGCGCAACATCCCTCTGCCACAGCCTGCCGCAACACCCAGTCACGTGTGCACGGTCCTAAAGAAAAAATAACTCCCCACCCCCCCCCTTCCCCCAACTGGCAGTCTGACGCATCACGACCATGTCGCAGAGGGTGGCCGGCCAGCGCTTTCGCCAGCGCAAATTATCGACAAAGCAGAACCTACCTGTCGTGCGCGAGCATGAGGTGGAGCAGCTGGCCGATGACGATGCCTCGCGTCACATCCCCAAAGTCGAAACGGGTGTCGAGAAGGGAGAAGAGATTGTAAGTTCCACGCTAGGCCCGATCCGGGCTTTCTCACCCTCGCAGCCTGCCACGGCCGTCTCTCTCTCTCTTTTGCATGAATGATCTTGTGCGAAAACAGACGATGCGAATGGCAGAGAAAATACGACCAACTCACCTTTGCCGTCAGCACCGCACATACTAATACAGCCCGCAGGAACACCACTTGCAGGCTGTCATCTCTGCCGCCCAAGCAGCTGTCCACGGCTCTACTGGTGGAGAAATCGCCCAACTAGTCATCCCAACGCCAGAGGCTACGGCAAGTAAAGTGCAGTATGAAGAACTCTATCCCAAAAAGTTCACCCAGCCTGCAACCTACATCCGCTTCTCCTCGACCGTAGAAGACACCTCCGGTTGTCCCTATTGCATGACCAGTGATGATGTCGCCTTTCTCAAGTCGTACAACCAGAAGCGACAAAAGGGTAACCAATGCTCCGAAGACGAGTTCGAGGAGATGATCAACTTCTTCGAGGAGACGACGGCAACAAAACAGCCTTTTGCTGCCGTCGATAATTCGCCTGTCCTCCCCTACGAAGAATTCGAAGCTGAGTTTGATGATACCATTCGCGAATCAGCGCGCCGATTTGCAAAAGACATCTATGCCCACTGGAAGAATCAGCGATTACTCCAGGGCAATCGGCCGCTCATGCCAATGCTGAAATTTGAGACAAACCAGGATACTGATGATGCTGACCCCTATGTCTGCTTCCGACGTCGTGAAGTGCGACAAGTCCGCAAGACGCGTGGTCGCGATGCCCAGGTGACCGAGAAGCTCAAGAAGCTCAGAGTCGAGCTCGAACAGGCTCGTGTCTTGGTGGCCCAAGTCAGAAAGCGTGAGATGTTGATTCGGGAGAGCCTTGCGATTGACAAGAAGATCTTCCAACAACGAGCAGAGGTCAAGGAGACAAAGCGAAGACTGAGTATCAAGGGTGACGATGACGACCTCCTCATCACGCAGAAGGTACGTCTCCATGACGAGTCAAGGAGGGCAGAGACCGCAACTGACACCTCACAGCCTGCTCCCAAGCCTAAGAGGCCCACGGATCTTGAGAGAGTACGCCAGAATATCCCTGGCATGAAGCCTCGGGACACTCGTTCGGATGGTCGTCTTGTGGACAGCGATCTCGTGTACTTGGAGGAGCAGCAAGCCAAGAAAACCGAAGCAATCGACAGCTTCATTGAAGACAACCTGGTCAAACACCAGAAATGGAACGTTGGCTGGGTCGATGCGACATGGCGGCCCATCACACCACCACTGGAACCCGCTGCGGCGAAGTCGGACTTCCGTACAGTCTTTACGGAGAGTCAGCTTCCCACGCCTCCAGCTTCTGTGTCTGATGAAGGTGCTGATGCCATGGCAGTTGAGCCACTTAAGCAGCAGCCTGATCAACGACGAGTTCCCAGAATCCGGTTTGCGACGCCACCTGATGACGTCCCTTTCCAAGACCAAAGTCGATTCCGACGGCGAATAGGTCGGGGTGGGCGAGTGATGATTGATCGACGAGGCGTGAAGCGGCAGAAGACCGATGGTCGGATAGACGATCGCCTTGCAGATCGATGGCGGTATTCTGGCGAGAGTAGCGAGGACGAGCAAGTATATCCAGTTGACTGGACAGATAATCTCCACATCAGGTACAGGATCATGATAGAGCGGCAAGGCGAGAAGCCAAATCATCCGCAGCCACCGCCGGCCGGGCCTGCACGAAGATCCATTGAGAACCACAATCGATCGGCGTCAGGTCACCTGCTTCCCCCTACACCCACAACTGCAAGTGCTGCAAGCAGGTGATAGCGGCGACGTTTCGTCACTCACTGTGGCGTAGACGAGAACTTTGAGTATTGGCCCTGCAATCAGTAATGTCTTTTGTTTTGGAAACAGGACGTTGAAGATGAAGCATGCTTGGACACATCTACCAGAGTTATGATGTACGCTACCCCATTGATCAGCGCGATTGGGGGATGGTTGGAGTGGGTGTACGGCTAGACGGCTGGATGGAAGGATACCAAGGCTGTTAATAGCCGAGCCGAGGGGACCCAACTGGATCGCGGCCGAATCAGTGGTCTGAGACATTCCTATAAAATATCGTCAGCTGCGATGTAAGGCGTGAGAGGGCTTGCATCGCGTGACCCAAAAAAAGCAGAAATACAAATCAATTCAATAAAAATTGAAAAACGTACCTCAATTGTCCTTTCCTCCAACGACTAATATGTCAGTGTCCTCTAGTCCGTCCTTGTTGCGAGGCGAAGATCCTGTTATTGGCTATGGCGCTTTTTTGAATTATCTCGAGCTTGGTGGACTTGTATGCTAGACCTTACGCCCTTGGCTTCTTCTCCGTGCCTCCCATTTCCACATCGCCTTCTTCGTCCACTTCTCTTTGCCTCTTTGCTATACCGCCAGCTCTTGCCAACATTTCAGCCAACGCTTCTTCAAACTGCCTCAAAATCTGCTTTTCGCCAATGCGCACTGCTCGCGCCATGGCCTGTCGATGTCTTGTCACATCAGATGGATCCGGTGTCGGCGCGTCATTCACGAGTTGCAGATCATGCTCCAAGGTGGTTTTGTATTGCGCGAGTCGTGCTTGCACAATCTTGTGCAGTAACTCTGCGCCCTTGGACGAGATCTTCTCGGGCTTTGGTAGTTTGCTTTTGCGCTGTAAGCGCTCAAATTCTTCATCTGGCAGCAGCATGGACTCGACCAAGATGATAAGCTCCGGGGAGAGACTCTCCTGTAGTGTAAAAGGGCTGCTTGCTGTGATGTCGTATCCTGAGTCGATAACCTCCTGCTCGTCCAAGTACTGCAATCTTTGGTCAATCCAAGATCCTGATGCAGTCGCAACTTCAGACACGAGCTCCATGGGAACCTCAACGACATCATACTGCGCGTAGTTCTCCGTGACATAACCATATCGACGTAGTAGATCCGAGCGAGGAAGTGGCCCGTAGTCATTGAAGATCTCCTCACCTGCTTTGATCGGCTTGAGAGCCTTCATCTCGAGGTATTTTTGTTCGTAGAAGAGCCGTGCGTTGCAACGATCTGCGTCAGCGTTGAGCATATCGGCCAAGGGAATCATGCCCTTGGGCAAAGCCTCATCCTCCTCTTCCTCTGCAAACCCCTCTTCGTCGACATCCTTGCGCGGTGTAGCGGGCTCAATGTCAAAAGCATATGCCATGATTAGACTGCCCATCTTGTGCATCAAAGTGATGTTCTTCTCGTCGCGCATCTCCTCAGCCTTTTGCGCTGCCCTGCTGTCGCCCGAAAAGAATATTCCTGCAAACTCTTTGATGACTGGTACGAGCTGGCCCAGGAATGCCTCATTCGCTCCTTCTCTCCCGATCTTAGCCAGCACGGCGCTGGCTTGAAGCTCCGCCAACTCATGTTCAGACCAGAACATCAAGGTGTTGAACTCATTGGGGAGGACGGCAAAGTATGGTGCCCAGTTTGAAGCATCGCCGTTGAGGTGCTCATACAGCATGACAAGGATAAGGGAGAGCCAAGGCCCGAGGAGGTCGAATGTCGAAGTGGGGATCTCGGTGGAGAGGATGGAGTTTTCGACACTCAAGACTGCGGAGCGGGGTATACGAAAAAGGACTTCATGTTCTCTGATCTCCTGTGTAGCAACTGTATTTTAGCATTAGTACTCTTTTTCGATTTCGTGTATGAAGGTGCAGCGGAAGTAAGCACATGGGTGTTTACGAATACGTACCTACGCCTCTACCCGCACCTTTGCTTCGAAGGTCCTCAAGTTGGACCTTGGGACTGATGTCTGTGCCAGACCGACGGAGCCATGCTAAAAAAGCCTGACCAGCTGCGTCGAAGTCTGCCATGCGCGGCAAGAGATCTGAGTGTGGTGGTGGTGGTTGGGGAAGGGAAATGTGAACAGTGGATTGCTTAGCGGTGGGAACCGAGGATGACCCAATTGGTCCGAGTGGAATACTTCATTGTGGGGCTTATAACTCTGTGTGGCTGGAACAACAGCCTGCGAGGATGCAAGATTTTTTTTGAGGGTTGAGTATTGATATAGCGAATCTATAAGATCAATTCTTGTTCAGCATAATCCTTAAGGTTGGCTATATCGTCCTACAATTGATGTTTGATTGTGTTCAACTAGGGTGATTTGGCGACATCATGTGAGGAATACCGGCGATATTAATATTATGGATTTTGGAACACCTGAAACCATACACAAGGAATTTTCAGAGTTGAGTTAACGGACAATGTTGCTCTAAACACTTTCCAAGTCTACAATGACCAGCCAGATGAAGTCCAGGCCGTTGACGATGAATGTATCTTATCGATAACGCAACTCGCAACGTCACCCCACCATTCACGAACTCTTGACGCGTGCACATGCGTTTTGAGATACATCTTTGTCTCCAATGCAAATAATCATCAACAAGCTGTCACATTCTAGACCTGATACTCTCCAGACACAATGATCGCGATAGGTTTAGAAGGAAGCGCCAACAAGATTGGTATTGGCGTCATTTCCCACCCTGCACCAGGCGAACCTCCCATCATCCTCTCAAACCTACGACACACATACATTTCCCCCGCAGGCGAAGGATTCCTTCCTAAAGACACCGCAATACATCACCGAGCATGGGTCGTGAGGCTTATCAAACAGGCTGTGCGCCAGGCTGGAGTCAAGGTCGAAGACATCGATTGTATATGCTACACTAAAGGACCAGGCATGGGTGCGCCACTTCAGAGTGTAGCACTCGCTGCGCGGACGATCAGTCTACTATGGGGCAAGCCGATGGTGGGTGTCAATCACTGTGTTGGGCGTTCGTGTACCTTCTACTCGCAGCGTTGACCTTGTGCTAACCAGAGCAAGATATCGAGATGGGTCGCTCGATAACCCGTGCTGACAACCCGGTTGTCCTCTACGTCTCAGGTGGAAATACACAGGTCATCGCGTACTCTGCACAAAGATATCGCATCTTTGGTGAGACACTCGATATTGCGATAGGTAATTGCATAGACCGCTTTGCGCGCACGCTCATGATACCCAACGACCCGTTCCCCGGCTACAATATCGAACAACTGGCCAAAAATGGAAAGAATCTAGTGGATCTTCCGTACGGTGTGAAGGGTATGGATGCAAGCTTCTCTGGTATATTGGCTGCTGCGGATCTCCTTGCGCGCGGGCTAGACGAGTCGTTACCACACGAGAAACGATTGAAAACCGAGGAGGGGAACCTGGTCACAAAGGAAGACATGTGCTTCTCTCTACAGGAAACCATATTCGCGATGCTTGTCGAGATTACAGAGCGCGCCATGGCGCATGTTGGCTCGCAGCAGGTTCTTGTGGTAGGGGGCGTAGGATCGAACGAGCGGCTTCAGCAAATGATGGGAATGATGGCGAGAGACAGAGGAGGTAGTGTTTTTGCAACCGATGAACGATTCTGCATTGACAATGGCATCATGATAGCGCATGCTGGGCTTCTGGAGTATGGCACTGGAATTGTGACACCTTTGGAAGACACCACTTGCACGCAAAGATTTAGAACAGATGAGGTTTTTGTCGGCTGGAGGGATTAGATGAACTGAGGAGTCGAAGAAAAACCGTGGCTTATAAGATACCCAAAACGCGATCCCACCCTACTTGTAATCTCAAGAGTCAAAGCTCATTTGCAATGTCTTACCAATAGACTACACCACTGACGCCATCTTCCCCAAACGCAAGCATGTAGGGATTTCTCTGCATGAGCATATACGCGTAAAAAAAATCTACAGTCAAAAAACGCATCGCGCCCATAACTCGCGATGAGGAGACGCTCTTGACACAGTCAATTGGATCTTTTCGTCTGATTTTAACTGCAAACACATCATCGCGTTTTGGAAAGACCTTTGCAAGCCCCATAATGCCTATCTGTATGAGATTGGTGGTATGGATTTATTTCGACTTTTGGCCTGTAGGTAGTTGTGTAAGCATAGGTGTTCCTACTACAATAGGGATTCTCATTTTTTTGATTTATTTTTTCCACATCTCAGGGATCCCATCTTTATCTCATATCCTTTCCCCAGAGCTCCACTAGCTATTCAGAGGATCATAATGAGTAAACCAATGGAATTCCAATTATATTACTGTATAGGCAAATTTGGGTTTGAGAGCGGGCTGCTAGGTGTGCTGACACTCATACTGGCCTTGGAACCTAGCTATCCTTGGCCAGCGGGGCGTATTAGCCGTGAGGTACTGTCCATATCCGGCTCTGTATCAGGCGTTTCGCAGTATGTAGTATTTCCCCTAAGCTGTACCGGTAGGTTACCTGAACCTTACTATGGCTAAGAATACGCACCATCGTACCTTGCTCCTTAGAGTTGACGCAACCCAGCTAAAACTCTCTATCATTCCCTCCACTGGGCAATTCGTGAAGCATTTGGATTGATAATGTTTGCAAACCAATTCAGCTGTTTAATTCAGTTTGAAAGCGACTGCGATTGCATGTTTTGGTGCAAAAACAGCTAATATGGTGTGTGCTTTAGGCCAAAGATCTTGTGCTAGACGAGCATGTTGCGGAGCAACTGCAGCCATATCTATTTGATTTTAAATGATTCGAGTGTAATATATAGTAGAGCGATGACATTGTACTACATGTAACATCTGTGAAGCTAAAGCCTACAATCCTGCTTGATTACCTACCCTCTGCGCTCGCGGTACGAGCGAAATGATAAATCAAGGCCGCCCAATATTCCGAAATGGCGTACCGGTAAGCGGCCCCACTGGAAGTGCTTTTACTGTTCTCTAGTACACACGGATCCATGGTAATATGTATAGTACTCGTGTGATGTAGTACGTCGTGCTCGGTTGAGCTATGGTAGAGGTAGGCCAGATAATGCAATGCAAGGCTAAGCCTAAGTGAGGCGCGGCTGTGAAGTACCTATTTGCATGTACCTGGCTTTCACCGAGCTGTCCGATTGCGGGTTTTGTAAATTCGACTGCTGGATCGATGGGCGTAGGCATGCGGCGTATGGGTGATGTCAGTCATAACACTAGTATGTGAAATCAAGAGCTGTTTTACAGAAAGCATCCGGCTCAGGTCATAACACCTATAGCTTCCAGTAGCAGACACTTGATCAGCATCGACAGCGCCCGTCTCAGAACCAGAGGCAAATTCAAAGCGGTCCGTTGCGCCAAGGCCAAGGGAACTAACCTTTTTGCCTGTCCCCCCCTAGTGTCGACCTTCAAACGCGATCCCAGCTGTTTCGGAAGCGCGTTACGCGTGCACTCCTCGCGACCAGCCTGGTACGAACGGTACGGTAGCTCCGCCAATCCACCGGGTCGATATGCTACGCAACGCGCCAGAGAACTGTCAGCATACCTTACCAAGTACATCTCTCGAACTTGACCACGGTCTAATCACGTACGAGGATGCCGCGGACTCTGAAGACAACGTCATCAACCAGTTGGCATACTTCAAAAAGACTAAGGAGTTACTCAACCATCTTTGGGAGCAGAGACGGTCAATCGAAGCGCTCGTCGCACACCATCTTGACCTAAGCCAGAATGAAGCTTGCATTGTACAAGACCAGCGCACATGGATTCGAGGTGGCTTCAATGCCTGCATACCAGCTGTAGTGAAGTCTAGGAACGAAACCAGGAAGGTTATTATGCGCTGTCCAATGCCGCACAAGCTCGCTGAAGCTAGATATCCTGGGACGGCAGACGAAAAGCTAAGTTGCGAGGTTGGAACATATGCATGGATGCAGGAAAACTCTCCTAATGTCCCAATTCCTCATTTATTTGGGTTTGGCTTCTCGAACGGTCGCCATGTAAGACTAAATTCTTATTGATTGTTTCCCTGTCCTGCTAAGAGTCAGCTAACTTGGATTAACCAGTACACGCACGCTGTTCATCGACCTTTCTATATCCGTTTTGTCAATATCGTCCGGCGATGTCTCCTCAACTTCTTCCGATATCCTCTTGTTTCGCATTATACCTCTAACCCAACCGCCTATAGCCTACACACGGGATACATGATTCTTGAATTTATTGGCCCAAGCAGGGGACAGATGCTCTCCAATTCATGGAAAGGGATTCAAGAAGATCCAATTCGGAGGGAAAAATTTGTTTCGGGACATCGCTCGTGTAATACTATCTCTCGCTCGGGTCCCTCAACCAAGAATAGGTTCATTCCGATACCATGATGACGGCACGGTATCATTATCGAACCGGCCACTCTCCTGCACGACTATCATATTGGAAAATAATAGGGCACCGAGGGTAATCCAGAGGAGCGATACATACACATGCACTGACGCTTTTGTGTCGGATATGCTCACATTCCACGACCAACGCTTCCTCAGCCAGCCAAACGCAGCTTATGACGAGGAGGACTGCCGTGGTCAAATGACAGTACACACCCTACTCCGGGCGCTTTCACACCATTTTATAAGACGGGAGAGGCGCAATGGGCCGTTCATACTGCAGCTTACTGATTTCCATGCTAGCAATATTTTTGTTGACCAAGAATGGAACATCACAGGCCTTATTGACCTAGAATGGGTATGCTCACTACCCATAGAGAAACTCACAGTGCCCTACTGGCTCACTGGTAGAGGAGTTGACCAGATAGAGGGAGAGCATCTTGACGAATTTAATGGAGCGCGAGAGGAGTTTATGCGTATCTTTGAGGACGAAGAGCAAAAGACAAGATCGAGCAAACGGCATGATATTTCACTAGCAATGGCTATGAATGACATGTGGGAATCAAAAGGAGTGTGGTTTTGGTATTGTATAGAATCGGTGAACGCGATGTACTCGCTTTTTGAGTGTCAGCTCTGCGAGCGGTTCTCAGGTAGCCTGTCCACAAAAACTGAGGAGTTCGTATCAAAATTCTGGTGAGGATTCAGCGAGCGTTGTTGCGAAGAAGCTCGCCGAGAAGGAAGTATATGACCAAGAGCTCCGTGAGCTCTTTGAAAATAGCAAGGAAAGTTTGCGCATCAAAGCTGAATCGTGAGCCGAATTGCATAGACTAGGAGGGCAAGCTGGCTTACGTCTTTGTCCTGATGAAGTCAATCTTTAAGACTATTCATTCAACCTTTTACAATTTCTCTCCTTCCTCTTTGTTCTTCTTCTTCTCCTCCTCTTCCTCCTTCCTCTTCTCCTCTTCCCCTCTCTTCATCTTCTCATCCCTTATCCCATATTGCTTTTCTTTTCTTTTGTGCTGAGGTCCCAGATGAGATCATACTTGCTATAGAATCTTTTTTGATACCTATGCCTCCAGCAACAGCCTGGTCCAGAACTCCACTATACTCCCCAGATGAGTGGGCGTCATTGTTGCTACCGCTAGTACCAGTATCCGCCATTGTTTTCCACAGGGCAACAGTTGCAGAATATGTAAAAAGAGGGTGCCTAGGAAAAGCATGAACTTTTGCCCAGGTAGACGCGATTCTGAGATACAAGTCATTCGATACGAAAAAGCCTGAATGTATCCTTGTCCGGCTATGATACTAGTCCCAATCAGAACGTATCCTAGCTAATCTGGGATAGGGATATCAAACTCAGTGGGAGCAGTGGTCACCATTACTTGCAGGTAGGTGAACAGAAAGAACATCATTTGCTGACCGATGGTAGTTCGAACGGCTGCGCACACATTGACTTGGTAACCCACAAGCTCTGGCGAGTAGCCGGCTACTAATCATCAAACAACTGATCATACGCATCATACCACCCCTTCATTTCCCACTTCCTACTCGCCAACCAATCCTTGACTTTTTGATTGTCATAAATAAGAGGCGTATCCCAAAACTTCTCATGCACACTTACTACGCCCTGTTCAAAGTCATTCTCATTCGGCTCCCGAATGTTCCACTTGTAATCTAATTCCTTCCAGGGCATCGGTCCATCCCAGCCATGCGCCGTGCGCAGCAGATTCTGCTCCATGTACTCTGAGTTGAAGCGCTCATCTGGCACCAGGAGGAACGAGCGATAATATTCGAATAGTTCTTTTGACGGCGAGCACACGAAGAAGCCTGCATTCATGTACCCCGGAGTTTTGATATCGCCGGGGGTGGGGGGAAATTGGTGGTTTGAGTCGAAGATTTCGGAGAGGCCGGCAAGCACGTAGGTTGATGGCATTGGGGCGAAGCCCTCGCGTGGTTCGTGAGGTAGGGTCTTTTGGGGCCGTGTGGCTGGGTCGTCGAAGACGCCGTCGAGGGAGTGGAGAAGCATGCTGTCGCCGTCTATGACGAGGACGAGCTCGTACTGCGTCATTTCGAAGACGCGAAGCTTGGTCATGATGTTGTTCCAGGTTGGCCGGCCGGGGTGCAATTCGACTGTACCAGTGAGAAATTCGACGGGGTAGATGATGGCGCCGTCTTTTGCGAGGCGTTCACGTCGTCGAGAGTCGATGGTTGGGTCGACCATGACAACGACATCGATGCCATTGGTGCGTGTCTCGGGGTTGTGAAGAAGTTGCCATATGAGGATGCGTGTTGCGATGAAGTACTGGTCATCTTCGAGGGGTCGGTGTATGTTACCGTCGCTGGAGAACCAGGTCACATAAGCCCTATTACTTCCGCCCGGATTCACTTTGGGTCGTTTGTTGCCAACGTTCTTGCACTTGTGACTCTTGTGTTTGTGCTTCTTGCCATGCTTGGAACTCTTGGCTTTCTTCTTCTTTGAGACAGTATGCTTGGCATCGTTGAGATCATTCAATGGCGTCTCGTCCACGTTCCCGTGGTTGAATACACTTCCTTTGGATCCATGTGTATGTCTGTATTCAGCAGTTTCCTCGCCATACCATGAATCATATCTGGATATTGTAATTTCTAGAAGGAGAATCGCTGCAAGAACTGCTAAGATGACCGCAGCCCTGATGCGTGGTTTGCTAAGAAAATTTGCCATGGCCCTGGAAATTCTTTGATGCTTGGGAGAGGAAGAAGCGATCCGGCGAAGGATTCGGAGGACGGGGCTGGAATGTTTATCACAATGACATTGCTGCTTCAGTCTCAAACCCTAACCCAGCAGCATTTGCTCTTCTCGTTTTCGAGGGAGCCTTGGTCCTTCTGAATCAAAGCTGTTCAGTGCTCAGTATGTGGCTCACCGATATTTGTCCCAGCTAGTAAGGATAATATCTCAGATCGCGTGCACATAATGCAAGCAAGAAATCACAAGTGCCGTAGAAACCTTGCGGCATTCAATCAGGAACGAACAAGGTGCATAACACTACTGAATCGATCGAAATTATGTCATAAGATCCACTGTGAACCTTTCCAATGGTTACCGGTACGTTTTAAGCTTTCTCGAAGGGGCCTTTCACAGATTCATTAGCTAGTTTTGGAAAACGCTGCTTGTCCAGAATCGCACACCTGAATCCAGTTCAGAATGCTTCACTTCCCTGTTTTAGTGTGTACGGAATGTGTGGCGGGTACGTTGATGCAAGGTCGATGCTCACTTCACTTTTGATTGGCTGATTTGCCGCGGATCTCGACTTCCGCGTCCTGAGTCGCGAATACATGAAAAGGGTACCTATGAAAAACAATGGGTAGACTAGAGATCTCTGAAATTGCTTTCAAAGAGGCTTGAAATTCATCTATCAACTGCACATTCCAATCTTGCAAAGAGTCAAACGTGCAAAGTGATCCTCGCATGCCTACTCAAGTTAGATTCAGTTGCAATCGTGTCAGCTGGGCATATTGCGTCAAAAAGAAAGGATGGAATTGCGATCCGAGTTGCCTATTCTGCACCCTGGTTATATCATCGTGTAGAAGGCTGGTGTCAGGAAAGGGAGTGCGCGAAATGATATGGTACATAGAGGTAGGTGAAGGATTTAGTGACTATGGGCAGTTGGTGACTTAGATGAATTGCCATCCCCACAAGATAGCGATGAGCAGGTATCATTACCTGCTTGGTCTGACGAAGATCTTACTCATTCACCATTGACGCAACGGCCCAACATTTGGACATGCGGTTGCTGATTGACAATCAATCAGAAACCCCATCGCGAGCAGTTGACTTTCCTATCTGTCGCTACGAAAAATTACAGAACAGTTTTCCAATGTTCCAGTGACAGCTGTGACTAGATCGGGCCTCACCTCACTCATGTTGCACTCATGAGTCACGCTTCTATAGCACAGAGTGAAAACGCGAACGATCAGAACCATCAACTAAATTATACTATCGATCAATTCTTCCTCGGGCAACCGGAAAGCCAGCTGTATCAATGAAGAATATAATGTTCTCTGAAGCCAGGCCCCACCACGCCAAGCTCAGTCAGTGTCACCGCAATCCGAAAATCGCTATAGCACCGTCCTCTCACCACCAGGCAAAGCCAAGTGAGGAGCAAAGAATCGTAAACAAAAGCACACTTGTTCTGGCCATGCAGCAGTCAATTCGTCGTGGAGGCCGTCGAATGGCTATCGAGCCTGACCTTGTCGAAAGCGTATGCGACGAGTCCCCGCCCTGCAGATCCCACTGCAGCCCCAATGTTGGGCGGCTCAAAAAGATCACCCCAGGCAATCAGTTCGAGAAGTTTTTCACGAATCCTCCAAGACCCTGCATGTCCTTTCCACCTGCGGTCAGGCATTCCGATTACCTGCGTGTGTGGAGCTGCTCGATCGACCGTCTCGTATACGTCCATCTACCCCACCATCCTCCACCCTCTATCTCAACCTCGCTCTCGAATCCGGGTGACCAAGAAGGTAAATTGCTTCGTGCTTTGGGGACTTGGGAAGAGGGTGAGGGCGAGGGCGAGGAGGGCTTTATATATTGCACCAGAGCTTGCGCACAGACGCCATCACATGGTCTGACTAGGGCGACGGCAAGGTGACTGTGTTGCTGAGTACAAGATGAGATATACAATAGGAAGGAGCGCGTGTTTTGGGTGCAAATTTGCTGAGTTGTCGCCTTCACTGGCGATGTCATTGAAGTTGATGGAACAAAGCAAAATCTACGCGATATGAGGAACACGACGAATAAGACTGCTGTAGATGCTAATGCTGTGTGATTAAATCTGGGGAAATCTATGCGTTAGACCTTATCCGAATGAGGGGACATGAGTGGCTATTAGGTTGCACAAGATGACAGCTTAGAAGAATCCTAATCATGACAGCCATCTTCTACTAAATACGCAGTGAAGAATGTGAGACCGGCCTCTGAATCTTATAGAAATCGAAAGTGTTGCAACAGGTATCAAACTAGCATAGCATAACGTAATCATTCAAACATATCCACCTTCCAACCCCATCCTCGAACAATCTTCATCCCCTCTAACTCTCCACAAGTATGCCCGACCTCAAATTTCATCCACATCATCACCATCTCCAATCTGACGGAACAAATAATAAGCACCATTCGATTAGCAGTAATGCCCAACCACATCAACCCAACTATAGCTCCTCCCCTTATCTCCTCAAATACTAATATCGGCCGACATATGCGGATTGAACCCGCCCACCTCGCACCGCACTAATATTGACAAGTCAAAACCGTGCAAGATGCCAGCGAATTTGTCGCATTCGTGCCTTGTCAACCACAACAAGTACACCATCCTCTCGCCAGTCGCCCCAGCCAAAGTTTCCAAGGACCAACCAACCCCACAAGAGGCCAGAGACGCAAAAAATTGACAGACACTCAAACAAATACCCCAATTTATCTTCGTAGCTTCGGGTCAAGGACAAGGGAAGCAAGTTCCATCGTTCCTCTCCTGTTGGCCTAGGCGCGAGAAGCCTCGATGTAGGATATTGGAGCGAGGTGTCGTGAGGTCGGGGTACGTAGTAGATCTTACTCGTGTGGTCTTGACGAGGGGCATCGTGGTGGTAGATTTGACATGTATTAGCAAGTCGTGAGTTCATGGGTTGCAAGCAATTCATAAGCATGTATTTGAAACTTACAGAGCAACCCTGCTTCAATCTTCCATTGAAATTCCGATATGTCTTTGGAGCTATAGCATTATGAATAATAGAGTTGAGAATAACGGCGGGGCTGCGTGTATATATATGGTCGAGATCATAGTCGTAGAGCAGGTAAAGAGGGAATGTTTTGGGGCCTAGGATGCACTATGTCTAAATTGAAGGCTTTGTCCATGGCTCAAAGTCCTTGATCAGATTAGGTGAATGCTTCGTTCCATTATTTTGTTCCCTGATGATGATCACCGAATCACTTTCTAACCAACGAGATGCTCATATGCCTTGCCTCGATGATCCTCGAACACCACGGCACCTGGAAAACGAGCATCACCACATCTCTGAAACTTTCAAAGTCTCGCTTCCCCATTTTTTCCATGCTCCGCGAGCATCTTGTACATGGTCTCCTCAAACTTCTCGTTTAGCACCCCGATCTTCGCGTCGCCAGGAGGCCAGACCAGCCCGGCATAGAAGCCACAAAGTCCGCTTTTGCGATCGCACCACTGAGAGCATGGTTAGCAAGAAAAGGCAAAAAGACTTGTTGTACCCAAGAAGGTATGAAGCACGAGTAGCTTACCCATCTTAGGTTTGGTGCACCACCCCAGATCATGGTCCCTGCTTTACTGCCTGTGGGAGAATCAGAGTCTATCAAAAGACCTCCTAGACCCCAATCCTTGGTGATGGACTTGTCTGTGTTACCCATCATGGTATTCATCTGCGTAATGATCAAGTTAGCGGCCAGCTTCGTTAGATTCACCGAGAGAACCAATAGACATACCATATCATTCTGCAAGCTTGCATTCAGCGTATTCTTGCTCCTCTCGCCCAGCTGCGGCGTGAAGAAAATATCCATCGTCTCCTTCTTAAGCAGCTTTTCATTCTCCTCATTTGTCAACATCGCCTTGAGAACCTTCACATACTCCTCTGCTGATGTGAAGACACCATTTCCGCCGAAACAATCCTGGAGTTCCTTTCCTTCGCCATCATGCCACGGCATCGGCCCATCATAGTTTTGTACCTTCCCTGTCGCAGGATCACGAATCGCCATATCCGCCATTCGCTCTTTCATGTCTGGACGCGAGGAAGGATGGAACGTCATGTCCTTGATACCGAGTGGCTCCCAGATATTTTTTCGCATATAAGCTTCCAGCGTCTGGCCAGTGACGCGTTCAACGATGAGCCCGGCGAAATCGGTCGAGCTGCCGTATGTCCAACTCTCGCCCGGCTGAAACATAAGTGGCAACTCAAAGCGCTCGAGGAGTTTTCCGCTCGTGCGCAAAGGCTGCTTGTGATATTGTAGCCAAGCCATGGCGTTGGGGTGTAAGGCATCATATGTCAAACCGGAGGAGTGAGTCAGTAGGAGGCGGAGAGTAATCGGCTTGGCCTGTTTGGTCTCGATGGGGGCGCCATTATCGTCGAATCCAGACAATACCTTATAGGACTCCAGTTCTGGGATGTGTTTGTGCACTGCTTCGTCTAGAGATACGAGACCTTGATCGACGAGTTGCATACAGCAAAGAGAGGTCATGAGCTTGGTACAAGACGCTGTCCACATGATCGTGTTAAGCTGCATTGGTCGCTCGCTGCCCTCTTTCATTGAGGCACTTCCGAAGGCCTTGGTATATGTGAATGACCCTGGGTATGATTAGATGTATAGCTCATGTTAAGAAACTGAAGCGAATAGTAGCTACCATCGCGGTTGGTGACTGTGAGCGCACAGCCGGGTATATCATGAGCAGCAATCGCATCGTTGATGGCGGCTTCTAGATCTGCCATGATGAATAGCCTGAATTGCCTCAGATGGCCTCTAAACAGTTCCAATACAAAGACAGTAGTGGGACAGAATGTGCCAGAGATGTATCCACGCTCCAAGACTACAAATGAGCCGACCCCAAGTCTGAGCAAAGAAAGCTCCCAGAGAACCTTTTCTTCAGCATTTAAAGTGGCACCATAATCGGGTCAAGTCCTTCCGGATATGACGGTGCTGTTGATACGTATGCGTCTTGGCGCGAAGCGGGGCATCCAGCGTTTGGAAGCCTTGAAGCCTCGGTCCAATGATGTTTACGGTATAGGTGAGCATGGGGAGTTAACACTTGAATGTCTGTAAAGCGACTGAGATGACCTGCATGGTGCGGTGCGATGCGCCAATATTGTGGGACTGTACTATGCTTCGTTGCATGCGTTGGAGTGGTCCACACCTGTGTCGTGTTGCTGAACAGGACAATGAACGCAAGTAATGACTTACCTATCAGACCAACAATGCGAGGCCATCAAAGGAGCCTAGTTGAATCTCATCTCGACTTGGGCCTGTCAAAGCTGCCTTTATCATTACATCCAGCCATGATTGTTTCCCATGGTGTAGCCGTTGCATTGCTAGCAGGACTACTCCGCGAGAGCGAGGTGAGCATACTAAGTAAATATATCGATGGGGTAGCCCTTGTAAGTTCTGTTTTGTTGAGGGAGCTGTCAGAGATGGTGCAAAGGCTTGCGGGGTAGGAGATAGCGCGCGGTCCAGCGTGGATTTCAGGCCTCAAGTGCTTGCAGTGGGAGGCCTACGTGACACCTGGCAGCGAATACAAGTAGGTAAATGTCATCGTGCTGGCTGCCGATGCCAAATGGTCAGAAGTCGATGTCCCATCTTCCAACCCCTCCGGTACGGTAGGTAAGTAGTTGCTTGGAAGCGACAGCAAAAGTGAAACTGCATGCACCACCTGATGAATCGATTTCACATCTGACTGACCGGGAGGGTCAAGCTGAAAGTCTATCTGCTTGTTTGTTGAAGCAAGAACAAGCCTTCTATTTGGGTGTCGGAGCTGTATACCGGTAGTTGTCTCTCCCGTGAGACGGGGAACGTATGGATGGTCCGAGATGAAATACCTTATCGATAGGTGAGGTCACATGATGGCGCGGATGGATGTACCGGTAGCGATGGGCTACCGTACTTGGAGGGTCAACACATCGCGTCGTCCCAACTGTCCTCTGAATCCTCTCGTCTTTCCGCAACAACACATTTTGACGATGAGAAAGCCACTAGGACTACCATGATCATTCGTTGGGAGCTACCGGTAGTATAAGTCTGACTGAGAAGCGAACGTTGAGAAACGAGAGGCCAGAGGATTGACACCTAGACCTAGACATACCGGTATCAGCTACGTCGCCTCATTGCTTGGGGTAGCTTGAGGCTTGAGGGCTAGTACCCAGTATGACCTCAGTATACAAACAACGACTACACTACCGTATCCGACGCACGCGGTGAGGATGCGGGAGACTGTCGATAGGTCGACGACTGCGAAACCGCCCACCGCGTGAACGCAGTGTGTGTGTGTGTGTGTGTGTATGTGATAATGAATAGACTTCAAAGGCCGTGAGTTGTTGTGGCTACGGTCAGAAAAGAACTCCGTTAGAAGAATCTGGTCGTTCCTCCCCAATTCGATCGCACCTTCCAACTCTACTGCTTTCCATCTCAACAGCTTCCACCTCCAGACGGCGCTCCTCCTCATAGTCCCCATAGACAACACCACAGATAACACTGGACAGACTCTCTTGCCTCCTGTACCATCGATTCAATCTGCGATACACACGCCCTCTTTTCGTTCACAATCATTCATAATGACCCGAAATTCTAAGCCTTCAATACCTAGACGTCGACCCGGCTACAGCAAAGTCAAGGTAGTGGACCTTGTCGCTGATCTGGCAAGACGCGGCCTGCCTACCACGGGCAAAAAGCCAGACCTGATTGCGCGTCTTGAGGAGGATGACAGAAATCAGGCTGAAGCGCGGTTCAGTACTGCCCTTGAGTCGCCCCAGGATGCAGCCCACGCTTTTGGGCTTTCGCGCATACCAACAGAGACCTTTACGGCATATCACACAGCATACACCGGCAAACCTGTGACCGCTAACGGCAAGTTTCACCACTTTGAGAGCATCACAGACGAGTCGCATCGACAGCGGGGTCATTGGTGTTTTGAATCTGTACAAGACGATCATAGAGCGCTCGCTCGCCACATGTTAACACCGGAGGCCATACTGGTCGAGCAGGATCGCAGCGGAGACACCTCCTTCGATGAGATCATCCTGCGATGGATGCCGGGTTCCGACGAAACAGAAATGAAAGCCGGCCTGGTAGGGCCAGCAAGTTCTCACTTGAGGACATTGTACACATTAAAGAAGATTACAGGACAACCCTTGTCATTTCGAGGGCAAACACCGGTGTACCCTATCAGCCAGGATCCACGGGTCAAGCAATACTGGGCCACATATAGTTCGCCACATTCAAAAGTCTCTACTGACGCCGCAGCCGTCGATTCTTCAAATACCATGAATTCCACAATATCCCGAGGAACTCAATCAGGCCCTAGCAATACTTCAGGTTCGTTCCACGATACAAACCTGGCCCCCAAGCCTTCAAGTTTGTCGCATGGAACGCCCAATACTCCAAAGGCTCTCTCCCCGCTGAAGCCACCCAATGACTTTGGCTTTTCAGAGCCACATCAGCCAATTGCCTCGCCTTCCACACCCGTAGCCCATGGACCCTCGACGTCTACTGTGCGCGTCAAGAATTCGAAAACATTGGACAAGGCCGCTACACATAATAAACATGGTGAGTTTACACCCGCCGGAACTGAGCACCATGGAGTAGATTCTGCTCCACAGGTCCTACAGATGGAATTGCTAGGCGGCCCTGAAGTCTTTCCCGCAACCAAAGGACCAGTCACACCTGACTTCCTCAATGACGGACCAATCCCATCATCACATTACACTGCGCTGTCTACGCGAGACGCATCGCTCCCAGTCAGCCCCGAGCACGCGCTGCTACAACAGTCCGTGTCCCCCCCACAACACCCTGCACCACCACCTCGAAGTTATGAGGAAGCGCCTCAATGTGATCTCGAGGAGTGGGGAGGTATGGAGCAGATTGAGAAAGATCTTGCAGCTCTTATTGCATCCGATGCTGTTTTGGAGGATACTGAGCATGTCGATGTGCGTGCTGGTGATACATTACGCACAGCAAGTTTGACTTCTTTCGTCGATACCAGCGAAAGCAAGAAGGGCAACACGGACCCCAATGAAGCGAAATCATCCCAACTTTCGGTTAGCTCTAGCAATGCGCCTAATAGCCCAAGTTCTGTCGCAGATGATGAACGAATTGTCATTGACTGCGAGGGCGACATTGGCGTGGTTCAACCCATGAGCCCACCTGCAATAGAACCAGATATACACCCCCGGTCCTCAGCAGGCTACCTTGACATACCATGCATGGACTGCGGCTTGATGGAGATAGAAGGCCATGCCTTCGATTGCCATATTGGCAGTAAGTCTTATCTATCAAAATCAACTCCCACAAAAGCTAACATCATCCATAGACATTATCTTCTCAGACAAGCTAACCTTCCTCGACTACCGCCGCATTGCTGACGCCGTTGAGTACTTTGATCCTGGTCCGTGGACTACACACTTCGATCCTTACCCCACCCCGCCGCCTGAGGACCCGGAGGCGCAGATTATTGGCATGGCAGATGTAATACGCAACGAAGAATCATACAAGAATGATGAGGAGTTACATAGTCTTCCTGACTCAATGATGGTGTTGTTATGGGCTTTGAGATCACTTCCAGGCGTTAAAGTACTCAGAGAGTAGGCAAATGGTGACAAATTGTTGCCATTCTTATATATAGTGTGTAGTCGTCAATCCTCAACATCCATCAATCAAACCCATCTCCTTCCCAACTACCCAGGCCACCCAAAGTGAACCCTCTTCATTTCTCAACCCCCGTCCATTCACCCCCAAACACCCCTTAGCGGCGTCGCACATCAGTACGCTGCAGTGCCTCGTGCTGGCGCGTGGCGCCACCCACCGCACCAGGGCCCAACTCCTCCACTGCCTGCTGCACCATTGCGAGATCTCTGGGAGATCTCGCTCTGGGAAGAGGAGGGAAGGAGGTCTTCTCGCCCGATAGAGACGACCCATATGGGGACGACGAGGTCGTGACGTTGCCCAGCATGACCGAGTCGACCCCATGGAGGAGGGGGATGACCAGGCGGCATTTCTCCTCATGACTGAGGGTGTCGAAGTGGACGGCGTAGAGCTCCTCGAGGGAGCGGACGGCGGCGGGAGAGAAGGAGGTGGGTGAGGAGGTGGGAGACTTACGCTTCGCGGCGGTGGGCTTGGTGACCTTGGTGGACACGGGAGTGCGCTTGGCGGGGGCGGGGGCACGGGTCTTGACTTTGGCTTTGGGGCCAGGGGGAGAAGAGGAGATGGGGGTGGTGGAGAGTGGGAGGGGAGAGGAGCCCATGGCGGGTGCGTAGGCTGATGTGCCATTGAAGACGACACCGGGTGGGTAGGTGGGCTGCCCGTAGGCAACCATTGCAGCCGCTCTTGAAGTCCCGTAGGGGGGTGAGACCGACAACCTCTTCTTGGAGGCTGGGGCGCGGTAGAGAGGAGGCTCGGGCAGGCCCTGGACCATTGCCCTACGTTGCTCTTCCGACGTCTCTGAACTCCACATCCGCTGGATGAGGTCGGGACCGCCGTGTGGGCCCATCGGCTGCGTGATCTTGTGAGTCAGCCCCTTGCTGAACTGCTCCAGACGAGTCGTCAAGATCTTGTTCTTGCGCCTCATGGCTTCCATTTCTGCTGCGTGCTCGGCCCTCAGCTTGGCCATTTCTTGCTCGTTCTGACGCCGCATGTCGGCGATTTCCTCCTGGAGATCCCCAATTGTGGGGCAATCCAGGGGAGGCTCAGCATGATCTATGACCAGATCATGCTGGCCATGGGTGGCCGATGAGGGTGTTGTGGTGGAGGTGGTGATGCTAGCAGGACTGAGTACCTGCTGTACCTCATCTGGGCCCCACATGTCGTTGATGAACTCCTCAAAAGCCGCGACGTCAGACGCCGGGGCATCGTCGGACATGGCGAAGATGGCGTCGAAATTTTGCTCGGAGTAGACATCAGACATGATGAGAGATGAAGACTCAGAAGGAGGAGTGCTGTTGGAAAGATGAGGGTGAAGAAAAGCTGTTGGAAAGATGAATGGGGAAGATAGCTGTGCTGGTATACTGAGTCGGGAAACTCTGGAAAAGGCTGAAGGAGAGACAGAGTAAAAATTATTTTGAACTGTTGATATGTGCCCTCTGAGCGAGGGGGGCTGGGGATTGACTAAATGTTTCGTCATGAGCCAGTGCTTTCACCGCAGGTCAGTGCTTTCATCGTACTTGTCACCACGAACTGCCGCGGAACCGCCTGATCTCTCGTCAAATGAGTTCACAGCGGCCGTTTGATACAGGTCCCGCTGGACCAGCCTCCCCTGATATCTTAATTTTGAGTGGGATCAGTCCAGACGACTCTCGAAGTTGGGCTGCGCAAAAGGTCATTTGAGCGACTGTCACCTCCACAAAAAGCACAAATTAGCCGACTCTGCGTATGTGCAATAGCGCTACAAGAGTAACCATAATATGATTACATACCATGGTCTGAGTGCGCCTTGAGTGTCTGCCTTTGATGTGGGTGCCTGGAGCGACAAGGTGAGAGACGAGGGTTCAGCGAAATGGTTTGTGGGCGTACGCTTGCGCCTATCAGAAAAACGACGGCGGAGACGGATACTGCTAGGAACGTCAGACTGGGTTTCCAATGCATATAGAGAGTTCGAGATACCTTCATCGTCGGCCACTATCCTCGGGTGTGCCTATCATACATGGTTGTGTTTCGCTTGGTGAAATGATGGTGAACGTCTTCGTGGTAGCCACACACTGAGCACACCTAAATGAAAGAACATTGAGACCTTTCAAATTTTTATTTACTGTGAATTAGTTATGCCTGCAATGCATCATGTGGCCTAGTCGTTTCGTTGACCGTACAGCTGATGCAGTGCGGTGGCTCATCCCTACCGCGACCACGATGCGCAAAATTGCGACAACGTCTTGGTCAAAAGACCAGAGAATTCCGCAATACGATCATTGCTCAGCTAACTAGAAGATGTCAGTATCCATCACAACGCCCCATTGCCTACCAAATAAAAGTTGAGGTTGAACGCAGAAGAATCAGTACGACTTTGACGGTAGATATAGCAGTGTGCAGTACATTTACGAGTGGCTTTATAGGGGCCAGACATACAATAGAACCATATGTTGTACAATAGCAATTAATTATGTGTAGACTGCAAGGCCGACGACAATGTCAATGTTCGACAGAGGATATGTCGTTGCTAAGCGTGTCCGTGGAAGCACTAGCGTGGCCGATCTCAAATCTGATTCGCCAGTTGGCGGTGCCCTGCATCTCCAAGGATGATCACCGGTACCGGCATCTCACGATCTATTTTCCTCTCCGGACCAAGGCTTGCACTCCGAGAATACTGTATACTTGAAGGTCTAGCAAGATATCGCCCACCATGTTGCATATCCTAGTCGCTTACCTAATGACAATCTGTCCGTCACGTGTCACACAGTCTTCCCATATCCATATTTGGCATCTCGCTCTCGATTGCGTGTTCAATCTTCCAGTTGAAACAGTATCAGGAAGTACCAATGCCTGCTCTCGAAGCCCACATTCCCAGCCCACCAGACCGCAGAACTTGTCATCCACTTCTCCGAGAAGTTGAATGAGCTCAAGGCTCAACGGCATAGATGTCCAATTACTGACAACAAAGCGGGGTTCAAATGTAGGACTAGCGAATATTTCGGCCAATCATCACTCACTACAGTACAAAACTGGTTTACAGTAGCCATATTTATCTAAAGTAGACCAAGAAGTGGTTTAGGTAGAAGAAGTAAACCTAAATAGGGTTTATTATACCATGTATTCTACAAAAGTAAACTACTTTTATTTCTACTTCTATTAATCTACTAGTATTAGTAATAACTAGTTTCCTACTAACTATTTAAGTATTTTACCCCTCCTTTCTTTAATCTTCTTTACCACCTCTATCACCACCTCTACTACCACCTCTATCACCACCTCTACCACCTCTACCACCTCTACTACCTCTACTACCTCCACCACCTCTATCACCACCTCTACCACCTCCACCACCTCTACCACCTCTACTACCTCTACTACCTCCACCACCTCTATCACCACCTCTATCACCACCTCTATCACCACCTCTATCACCACCTCTATTATCACCACCTCCTATTAGTAAAAATATTATGACTCATTATTATATTATATATGTGTATAGCGTGAAGCTAATCTTTTCTACCCCTTTTAGTCTTAGTTAGGTATTATAGCGTATAATAGATATAAAACTACTTTTTATACTTAATTTAAACCACCTATAATAAAGTAAACCACTACTTTAAACCTATTTACGGGTATACACGAGGTCAGTTTACACCTATATAGTAAACCCCTAGCGTACCATTCTACAGTAAACAATTTTTTACCGTAGTGACTGGTGCATGCATGTAGTTTGAGAAGATGATCAGCATGACTAATCATGTTACGAGGACATACGCAGGCTCGAAGAAAAGCTTGGTATGCTTGTTCCTGAGCAGGAAGCCTTGAGGTTGATCACGACAGGGGAGCAGAAATTCAATGCGAACGCCTATGAAAACATGTCACTTGACACGATACGTGTGGCTGGAGAGACTCCTGCTTTTTGTATACCATCTTTGACAACTCATGGCTTTAGGTTCAAAATTCTCATCATACGCTAGAACACGACTATGTGATATACCCAGGGTTGGTGATCATTCCGCGTGAGTAGTTTCAGAGATACAAAAAAATAGCTTGAGTACATAAAAGGGGCGCTTTGGCCGCAGGATAATGGTAATCATACAGCTTTTATTCATGAAAAATAGAGCTTTTTAGCCGTGGGAGATGACGGAGTCCGCCATAATACTTTCAAGCTTCTATCTACATCTAGTGCCGGCGAGCAGCCCTGTAAGCCTTTGAGTGCTTGATGATATCCGCCGCTCTCTCAGCAACAGCGTACACTGTGGTCATTGTGTGTGCAGCAGGCAGCATGGGCATCATGCTAGCATCCACGATCCTCAGACCTTGGACACCGTAAACCTTGAGATCTTTGTCAACAACACCTCCCTTCTCCTTGGGTCCGAGCTTGCAGCTACCAGCGGGGTGGAACAAGGTAGCAGCGTTGGCGCGGATGAAAGTGTCAATGTCTGCATCAGCGGTCACGTTGGCTCCGGGAACAACCTCAAATGGGTTGAGTTCAGTGATGCTGGGGGCTTGAGCGAGATGGCGGGTGAAGCGGAGGCCTTCGCGTAGGAGGGCAACATCGACTGGGTTACGGAGGAAGCCGGCGTCGGCAATCGGGGCGTCGAAAACGCTTGATGAGGATGCCTTGACGCTACCACGAGAGTAAGGGTGCTGAAGACCGAGAACCATGACACCGTCTGCCCAGATAAGCTCAAGGACAGCAGAGTCCTTGGCAGCCAGCTTCTTGGTCAAAAGGGCATGTTGCGCGGCGTAGCCATCGGTGACCTCGCGGGGTGTGTTGACTGGCAAAGAGGCTCCGATGCCTAGACCGTTAGCTTGGGTGATGATGGCCTGGGAAGCGTTCGAGTAAGTCGTCAGAGGTAGGAAGAGCACGAAGTCGGCAGTAGGAGAAGTCAAGGGACCCTTCTTCTGAGAGTCGTATTCTTGCCTAGCCTGGGCTGCGAAGGTGGTGTTGCTAGTCAGGGTGTTTTGGAGGACAGTGGTGTTGAGAACGTTGACCACGGCAAGCAGGACATGATCGTGGAGGTTGTAGCCAACACCGGGAAGGTCGACAACCTGGGGGACATTGATAGACTTGAGGAGGGATGACTCGCCGATACCCGAAACCTGGAGAAGCTGAGGGGTGTGGATGGTGCCAGCAGCAAGAATGGCGTCCTGCTTGACCTTGACAGTCTTGCGCTCAGCGCTAGCGGATGTGGCAAACTCAACAGCATTGACTTTGACGGCGCCGTTGACAGTGGAAGTCACGATGCGAGTGACCTGGTTTCCAGGGAGCAGATGGAAGTTCTTGCGTTGGGCGGCAGAAGCATAGTAAGCCTCCTTGGCGGAAGAACGAGTCACAGTCTTGGGGTCCTGGTTGTGAGGGCAGTAGTATCCACCAATCGCGTTGCCAGTCGCCTGGTCGTTGATGGGGATCTTGAGCTCCTGTGTGGCCTTGACGATGTTCTCTGTCATGGCAGTTAGCAATTGGATCATATCATGAATTCAAATTGCAGACTTACTCGTAGTAGGCCAAAAGAACGGCGAGTACGTTGATTGCATGTACCCTTTGTCGCCGTGGAACTCCGGGTTGTACTTGATGTCATACTCGGCTTGAATCTCCGCGGTTGGGGGTGTGAACTTCTCATTCTGCAGACTGTTAAGCACTGAACGACACATAGAATACGAATGCAGCCTTACCTTCTTGAAGTATGGAAGCAGACTTGCAAAGTTCCAACCCTTGTAGGACAGACCTTCCCAGCCATCGTAGTCTGACTTCGAACCGCGATCAAAGACCTTGGAAGAGTCAGTATGCACTTCTGTGTGAATTCGATACAACAACACTTACCATACGATTCAGTTTCGTCGATCCGCCAACCACTTTACCAAGAGGGATAGGAACGACGCGGCCACCAAGACCCTGATCTGCGGCATATGAAACATTCCAGTCGTATTTTGTGCCTACCGCACCACCGGCAAGGCCCGGTATTGTCACGAAATCTTCATTATTGTCACTGTAACATGTCAGATTGGTGTGAGCGCCGAATATGACTGTAACTTACAAGTCTCCAGCTTCGATGACGAGCACGTTGATGCCTAGAATTGGTTGTGTTAAATTTTGATCGATAGTAAGATTTCATGTTTTGGCTGCCACCTACTCGGCTCCTCTGACAGCCTGTTGGCAACTGTAAGACCCGATGCGCCGGCACCAACCACAACGTAGTCGTACTCTGCTAGTAATTCACCGGCTCTTGAGACGACTTGCCCTTTGAAAGGCGGATAAGCAACAACGGTCGTCGCAGAGAGCGCGGCGACCAAGGAAAGAGCATTCAGTCTGAGTATTGAAGGCATTGTGCTGCAGATGTGAGGCGTGCATTCACAAGTTGTGGAAGACCATGGTAGAGTACATGTATGAACATACTTGATAGTCAATTCAGCCGTAATGACCCCGAATAGCGGGCCTGTACTAATCCATCTCAACTGCCGATGTTACAAACAAACAGCTCCAGACGTTCGTCCTGACACATGCACAAGGGCATCCCTTTTTAGGCTCTTGGTGTTGTGCAAATTAGAGTTGGAGGATATTATAGGCTGCCCGTGCATCCGTCGCATGAAGGAGTCAATCTCCCGCTCCGCGAATCTTGAAGGCCCAACAAGCCAACCAGGCCGCTCGAAACATTTGAAACATCGACCTTCTTGGTGAAACCTCCGATGGCTTCATTCGATGACAGCGCTCACTGCCAGGCCGCCCCGGCATCATGTGCCCGGAATGGACTGCGCCTCATGCTGCCAAGCGGTCGTTCCTGAATCTCCGTCGATCTAGCGGACTGGCCGCTTGAAAATGCGTCTTCTTGTTCGGATCGAGATTCAAGGTAAATGATCCAGTATACGCAACCCGCTGCCGGATTGGGTCTTGTTCCGAGTAAATCGTACGAGATGAGGGCGTCCATGAGTTCAGAAATGGCAAGTGGGCCTTCGGCTGGTAGGTAAGTATGGGAGATGCAGGATTAGTCAGTGATCGGTCACGTTATGAGCAACACACTATCCGAGGTTACACAACCTCATTCTCTTCCGCCGATAATCAGCATACCATGCGACATTTTCGTCCTCCAGGATTCAAGTATTGCAAGTCTATTATAGCCAGGCTGACGTGGCAAGCATCCAAATACAGCACTTGAAGACGCTTGAGCCCTGCAACGAGAATCATTCCTGGGCATAAGATGCGAGCCATATATCGCACGCGTGTACACGGAGCTTGCAGACACCTATTGCCACCGCAGCAAAGCTCTCATCCGAAGCCGCAAGCATCGTTACTGTAAATTGATTATTGTTCTAGTTCAGTCCATGAGATAGATAACGCTGGTGAACAAAGGACTCGGCCCTACTGTGTACTGCCTCGAAACGTACCGAAAATCACGACTGAAGTTGCTAGACAAATTAGGGCGTTGAGATTTTGCAAGCTTGCCGAATTTTGCATCCGAGAACACAGCCTCACGCGTTTTCTTTCCTCACAGCCCGCCAAAATATCACCACGCGATAGTGTTTTTCAAATCATAAGAGTAGCTGGAAAGTAATAGGGTATGAGCTAAGCCAATTCCAACAATTACCACAAGATTCATCAGCACTCTAGTCCTTGGCGCCGTCGTTGAATTTGGAAGCCACAGAGCTAGAAGTCGACATCGATTTAGTAGGCATTCTAGAAGAAAGACGCACATTTGAGCCTTCACCAATCATTTTCAGAGAGCTACCTCATTCCCAGTTCCTACATAGTACAACAGAGAGTAAGCGAGCAATCTGAGTGATCGCCCGCCGCCATTCTGTGGGTCAAGTGCTTGTCTAGCGGAGGTATTTCCGATTAATATCAAAATGGGATCGTCGTATTCACGAGATGAGTAGAAAAGGCCAGACTGCTTTGAAGTACTGGGTGCGCACGCGAGTGCTCTGAGTTCGACCGAGCCACGGTCCAGAAAACATATTGGAAGTGAGATTGTGTTTCGGAGAGGAGACACCGAATTTGAGACGTAGTAATAGCTGAATCCTCTCGCACGCCGAGTATATGCCAGTAGGATCCCAATTACGAGGTATGCAAGTCTATAGATGCAACATTTGCGTCTTTTCTTTTCTGGGATGAATTGCCATGAAGCTTTCAGATTTCCTGGGTTCCACAATTCACACTTGAATAACATCCCTCTGACCTGGAGGACAAGGTGCCCCTGCAAAGATCACATAAGTTCCAGACGTGTCAGCGTCTTAAAAGAGGAATCCGGGTCTGTGCCACAGGGAGGACTCTTCCATTAACCAACATTGTATACAGTCAGTACAGATCCTTTTCCCATCCTTCATGACTACCTCTCCCAACAGTTGGCGGCAAGCAACTCCACTCCCAATCCACATGTTTTGCAAAAACATTTGTACAACAGAATCCTCTTTTCTAAAATCATCAAAATTTCCTCTATTCCTGGCGCCAATGTTGGCAACAACGGCAATAAAATACTGCAAAATAGACATTCGCCACTTCTCCACATGCTTTTTCAATAATAATAGCAGCACCACAACCAACATATTCTCTCCGTATATCCGCTTCAAACACAACCAGAGACATTGATTGGATGCAAAGTAATTTGATCCAAGCACCCCTCCCAGCGCACCAAAGCGCCAGAAACGCAATTTTGAATCCTTTTCAACCCTGTATGTACAAGGGCGAAAATTTGAACAGCACGAGACATCTATCGTTTGTGTCCATGATTTGGGAAGCAAAATGGCGGGAATCACATGAGCTGCACCACTGGCTGTTCGATTTTCCCCAGGGCGTGCGATGGGAAGGATGTTGTCAGTCTTAATTGTTGAGTTTATATACTTGTTGGCTATGCAGTTAGCTGTCATTCTGTCGGGCTAGACATCACATGAATGCATGATTGGGTACAGCAGCTCAAATGCTTGGAATCAAGCCACGGCCTCATGGCCGTACGATGTCGAGGGGAGAAGGCTCGGCACGGCATCACATGGAGTTTTGTGGAGAGAGGTGGGTTGCATTCGTTGCTGTTGAAATGTATTCGGCTCTGTAGAAACGAGTCGTGTACACTGAATTCCACCCTTTAGATACAGTGCCTTGTCTTCGTGCTGTTCCTCTAATTATTCAGCACATCAACATATATTACATGTTACATTCCACAACCCAGTCCAGCTCTGATTACACAGCAAACCAAAGCCAGCCAGGCACATTGCTCACATTCAAAGTTTTAAACCCCATATACCCAGAGATATGAAAACAACGTCACCCCCTAAACTGAACATAATAAACTGTACATAATTTCCCCACCCCTAACCCGCATGATAGACCGTGTAATAGATATGCCATAATTTCAATTCGATTCCGAATCTTCCACACGCACATATTGTTTGGTCGTGTCATTTTTGAACAGCGAAATAAGGCAGGATAGATAATCCCGACTACTGAAGCAGGGAGGGGGAGGAAATATATAAGGAAAACACAAGACTAATATATCTTTGGAGTTGGAGGTGTAATGTCTTGCTTGTTTGCGTGCTTTGCCCTGCTTGATCGCAATACTCGCATCCCCCTCCTACTACCTTTCCTATCCCCCCCTAAAATAAACCCAACATCCACAGCCTTCCCCCTCCACGCAGTCTGCTCAATCTGCACAATCCACATATCCCATTTCCCAGTATCGACATTGAACCGCGTAAGCCGCGACACCAACTTGTATATCCAACGACGAACAGAACAACGTTGAACACATTGACAACTTCTAAATTGAGCAGGGGAATGTTTACCATGGGGAACAAGGCTAAAATGTCCCACTTCTTACTCAGTGAGCAGTGAAAAAAGTGATTGCCGAATCCTAGCTCGGAGAGAGAGAATAAACAAAAATGCTGACTGCAAACTATGCATACGCGTTGCCCCAACCACTACTACCCTAAACCCCTCCCGCCACCGAGCCCCCAGCATTACAATATCCCATCTCTGCAATGCCATGGCCTCATCCGCCCTTCCTCTGCTCAACCTCTCCATCCCGCATCTCCACATCCCCCCTCGTCTCCCTCGCGCGCTCGCCCCGCTCCTCCCCAATAGTCTCGCTACTCTCCCTCCTGCGCTTAAACTCCCTATCGCCTTCGGCCCCAACCTCGACCATCTCTCTCATCACCACGCCCGTGTCCATTTCGGGCTTGCCATCCGCCTCCTCGACTTCGGTATTCGGCGTCAGCGTTGCAGAACTCATGTTATCATCCACCCCCACACCTACACCATGGCCGTGCCCGTGAGAGTGAAATTCCCTCGCGCTCATATTGTTCCAATCGTCGTCTTTGTACTCTTGACTGCCGTAGTCTGGAGGAAGTGCATCCTTGTCCCAATCCCCTGCTGTGGCTGAGTAGTCTTCACCATACGTCTCCCAGCCCTTTGAAGTCTTTTGCAACTCCTCGAGGAAATTCAAATTATCCTTTTTGACGAATTCCAGTAGGGGTTTGGAGAGGGGTGCGGGTTCCGATGTTGTGGCGGCTTCATTGGCATATACGAGGAGCACAGTTGCGGATTCCGTCGTGGCACGCTCAAGTACGTCTTGCAAGCTGAGGCGATCGCGCATGATGACTGGGCTGACGGATTCGGTATCGTATTGCATGCGCCACCACTGTTGTGCGTCTGGAACGTCGGACGTGATGTCCGGGTGAAGCAGGTACACGACGTCGCGCCGGGTTGCAACGCCCCAGAGTTTGTAAGGACGATGCATGGCATCCTGTGGGGACTGGCCTTCTGGGAAGTCGGTGGCTGTGGCGTCCATGACAATGTCCGCGCCGTCGTCGATAATGGGTTTGAAGCGAGCGCATATGCTGTCTCGGGTCTTTTGGATTTGTTGTGCTTGCTCCTCGAGGACTGTCATAATTAGCTAGGACCTTGATAAGCGACAGCGGGCTCACTCACTGGCAAGCTTGCTCTCGATGCTCTGATATAGGTGTTGCAACTGAGCCAGAACTTCAGCATCCCGAGATTCAGAATCTGAGCCATTGGTACGCGGCTGATACGCCTTGATGCTAGTCTCCAGCAGCTTCAACGATTCCACACGTCTTGCTCCGGGCCTTGCGGGTGTGTGATACTTTAGTCTCTCCACTTGGTTGTTGATGTGCCCCAGCTGTTCCTCATGCTGCTGCATGTCAGAGTACATGCTTTCTATGATATGCTTATTCTTCTCCAGATATCGATCAATATACACGGTCGCTGGAACACGGCAGCCTATGTCAGACGCATTGGTCGTCGAAGACGTCAGTCGAAGGATGAGAACATTGCTGGGCTCGACCAAGTGCGCGCTTCCGTTATTGCCTGAGAAGAGGGTATCATCCAGCACGTCATAGACGCTCACATCTGGCCTTGACGAATGCCGCGTAACAGCGCCATCGAGAACGAAGTTCTCCACATGCTGACCTGCAACATTGACGACCGAACGCAAAGAGCCGTTGAGTTCTGCATCCGGAACTTGCGTCTGGAAGGCGAATCCCCAGAGCAATAAAAACTTGAGCAGATCATCATCTTCGTCCTCGAGGCCTGCTGGCCTTGATTCCTTCCAAGCATCCATGCTCAAGAGCGCATCGACTGATCCGTATATCCTGTCAGTATTGTCCAGGAAGGCCATCAAGCGCTGCGCCTCGTAGAGAATATCCAAACCATGCATCTCAGCAAGGCCCTTTGACCCATCAATGATGCGCGCGGATGGCGACGCAACTCCTCTCCACCAATCTTCGCCAACCCAGTAATCTGTAGCCACCACACCCGGGCTAAGGAGTGCATTTCGGAACTGCGGTATCGAATGTAGGATTGGGATGAGACACTGAAGGTGGTTGAAATTGGGCGAGGGTTTCAAAATCGCAGGCTGGCCTTCTTCGCGCTGCCGTTGGCTCGGTGTAGGGTCTGCTATGACCTCTGTGGCCGTTGGAACGATAGCCCATTGTGATGCTTCGTAGTGTGACTGGGTAGCAGGCCCAAAGACTGTATTCGCGTTACCCACGACGCCCGATTCCTGGGGACCTTCGATACCTGCTGCACTGTCAGCACCGAGTCCGACCAAGATCTGACCTCTCTACTGACTCTGCATTGGCGCATCCCCAGCGTGTGTAGAGAGGGCGGAGTGTTGGCTCGTTCGCGAAGGAGGACGTGTGGGGGCCCTGCTATGGCCGGTGCTGTGGGGGTAATTCTCGAAACCTGGTGCATAGTCAATATTGAAAGCTGCGATGAATGCTGTCAGCCAAAACTCCCTGCATATCAGCTATCCATGGGGGAGGATCAACCTACTGGGAAGAGTGGCATCATTGTCTCCGTACCTCCCCGCACCAAACGCCGACTCGTCCCATGTGGCCGGGGAGTCACGCAGTAGACTTCTGAGACTTTCTATATCTGTGTCGTAGAATTTCTGAACGGCTGCTTGCAGATTCTTGCCGCTGATCTAGAGGCCAGGTTAGAGACGGCGGTTCATTGCAAGCCTGGGCGGAAGCAACCTACGGCCAGGAGCTTTGTAGCTTCTTCCTTGTCCAGCTGGTAGCAGATCACGTCTAATAGCTGACCGACATTCTCATTCATGGACATGGTCGCGGATTGGGGCGATCTCTGCGGCAATACTTGTTTTGCGAAAGCAGATGTGCGGCGTTTCGTGATAGGTATGACGTCGGGAGGGGAGAGGGAGAGACAGCGAGCTTGATAGAAAAGTGGCGCAGCTAGGTTTGCCCGCGTCGCGATTACCGCAAAGCCAGCGGCAGGTACGAGACCGAGAACGACACGATGCGCAGCTGGAAAGTATAGGAGGAGGATATAGTCAGGCACACCCGTCGCATATACCGGTACTATGCTGAGGTTCAAAGCCACTAACTACCGTGGTTCGCGGGCATGGCGGGGGAGACCAAAGCATTGGCGAAGTTTCGCGGAGGTGCCGTGCTAGCATGCGGAGCTACCACGTCGCTCACTGGATGGACAGGGACCCTGGTCAGGCACATCATACATGGCACATACCCATATCCATTCCTTGTAGTACAACGACACTACTCTACCTATCCACTGTAAAAGCTGTGATGGAATAGACCGTGTCCATGCAACACTGCTTGCACGTGGGAAAATTTATATTCGAATCAAATAGCTGAATGTATTGATTGTCTTGACATCTACTCATCATACACTGCTAACTATCTAAACTGTGTTTTGGCTATAATATACAAATCCTTCCCTTTTTGATGAGTACTCATACAGATACATAGTCGTTCATTGGCGTGGCATTATACAAAGTACCTTGTACAAGCCGCGAGATGACGGCTAATCATGATGGCGCCGACGGCATGCCCTCCAGGATCTCCTCTTTCGCCTCCTTGGACATGGGCTCCGCAGGCTCCGATTCCCCAGCGTTTGCCTCGGTCGCGCTCTCCTTGTCAGACTCCATGTCTACAACATCCGTCCCTTTTGCACTTGAGCCTGGCGCAGTCAACTCGGAAGCGGCAGCAGTACCCAAGACCCACTGTCCATCCACGTACTCGCCACTACCACTTCCCGGTCCCAACGGCTTGTACACTCGGACGCCCAACTCTTCATTCATCTTGTCTTGCTTGTCTCTCCACTCGCGGCCTCTGTTACTAAATCTTTGAATGACCTCGCGATACGCTTTCAGTCCCTTGTCAGCTTCCTCCTCGTCTTGACCAATGAGCTGGCGTCGTCGCTCTTTGACAGCGTCGTAGAGTGCCCACCGTTGACTCTCGGGTATCTCCTGGATGTGGTATTCAATGTTCCACACGTCTTCACTGTCGATCTTGACAGGGCGGTCAACATAGCCTTGATTGACTTTGGATCGGACGGTAAGAGTCCAGCCCATCAGTGGGCCGGACGGAGCTACTTCTTCTCTCGTAGAAGAGTTGATAGGTTCCGCATCCACTTCGTTTTCGGCTTCGGCGTCGACTTTTACTTCAGTGTCGGCTTCAGTTTCAGCTTCGACCTCGGCTTCAGTCTCAGCGTCAGCATCAACTTCAACATCAACTTCAACATCAACTTCAACGTCAACTTCATCTCCATCTTCAGCAGTGGCTTCAGCCGCAGCCTCCTCATCTGCTTGCTCGGCTTCTTGCTCCACCTCCATCTCCACCTCATCCTCCGACTCCACAACGACCTCTTCCCTTGCCGCCGCGCCGTTCTGATCCTCAGCGAGCTGCTCATCCACCTCATCCTGCGTCTTTTGCCACTCTGCCTGGACCTTGGGATCATGCTTGCCCACCCCTATCACCGTCCTTGCAAACTCCTTTTGCTCTGCATCCCCCTTATTCTGTATTTCATCGGCCTGCTCATCCGTGACCGGCTCAGCAAAGACGTACATAAAGGGCGTTTTTGCCTCTCTTGCCTCGACGTGTAATCGAAGTGTCTGTGAATGGTTAGCTGGGATGTCGGATGAGTGAGTGGATAAGATGACCTACCGTGTTCGGGAACTGTGCTTTTGCCTTTGAAAGGATCTCGTCGAGCAGGGCAATCGAAAGCTTAAACTCTTGGTCGCCCAGGAACGTGTCACGTTGGCCGTGGAGAACCTCATCCATGTCGGCTAAGCTGAGGTACTGGAAACCAAATATCCGCTCAATGTTATGGAACGCGATGAAAATACCGTCCATTCGCCCCATTCTGACCTGGAGTGAATACTTCAACAACGTCGCGCGTGTCATGTCGTAGAATTCGCGCTCATACGATTCCCATTGGCCAAATGAGTGTCGGAGTTGGTAGCCAACGCCTTCTTCGTACTTTCTGTGGTTCATGCGGATGGAGACCACAGCTCTCGTCTTCAAGTCAAACACGCCAGTGCCCGGAAGTCGTGGGTCATAGGCGTCTAGTTGAGAGCGCATCAAAAGATTTCCTTGTCTAGAGTAGTGGTAGCATCGACTCGATTTGTCCTCCGCCGGCGCCTTTTCTGGATTTGACTTCCTGAAGCGCTCGAATTCACTTCTTTCGGTCGTGAGTAGCTTCTCCAGCGAGTGACCGAGCCAGCTCATGATGTTAGGCCTGTCATAAGACTTGTCGGCATCTATAGCATATACCCCATTCTTGTAGCGCAGGAATACGGCGGTAGGACCAAGCGTGATTCTGGAAAACTTGTCTGAAGGTTTCGGGAAGTCGCGTGAAAGCATGTCGTGATTTAGAGGGCGGAAGTTGGAGAGTATGTAATGAAAGTGTTGCAGGACGCCCGACATGCTGGAAGTGGAACCAGTGAATTGTGCACCAGTATTTTGAGTTATCTTAAGAAGTTCCTCATCCTTTGACGATGTCTTGTACTCGCTGAGTGCATCAAAGTCGAATTCGCTGACCGGCATGATTTTTTCAAGATATGGGTCGAAGTTGTACACCAGTGAGCGCGGGTCTTGTAGACGATATATGCCTGGGTTAAAGAGGACACGATCGAGACCATATGACAGCATCGGCACCGGCGGCTTATCGACCTTGACGGGCGTGAACTCCAGATTTTCGGGGAACATGACGCTGATGTCGAGCGGCTCGCGAGGCTGTGCGTGTTCCGATGCAAGCAAAGCTTCTTTGAGGGACATTGGGGCGCTCTCAACCCCATCTTCGGGTTCTGATTTCCCTTTTGCGACAAATTTCCTGATCTGCACCCGCTCTGAGGCTTTCTTCTCGCCATCTTTACCAGCTGACTTAGCTTTCGCCTTGGTTACTGATTTCTTCGTCTTTTTAACTTTTTTCTTGCCATCTCCACCATCTGTCTTGTCCTCAGCCTTGGATACTGATTTTTTCGCCTTTGTGGCCTTCTTCTTCGTCTCAGCAGCGCCATCCTCGGTCGTCTGATCGGATACACCCTCTTTCTCCAAGCCCGCCTCATTAGATCCACCTCCCTCCAAACCCACCCCATCAGACCCACCCCCCTCCAAATCCGCCTGAATCCTCGCCAACTGTTTCGCTTCCTCCTGCTCCTTAATCTTCTTAATCCGTTTCTCCTGCCGCCGCGCCAACACCGACCTAGGCGACGACTTCTTCGCAAACAAAGCACTCGATGTGGCAAATGGCCTCAGTTGCGGTGTTGGGAATTGGCTTCGCGCGGCGCAGAAGAGGCAGACGGAGCCTCTACGCCATGACGAGGCTTGCGCGAGCTGACGAGTCAGCATTGAGGGGCGCGATTGGTGGGAAGGGGAGTTGGTGTGGTTGGAAGATGCGATGCGCTTTGGGTGAGGGTGTGAAGTGGTATGGGTGGAAAATGTTTCGGCGTTTCTTTTTGCCGGTGGAGAGCGCGACTGCGAATTGACTCTGACGTATGGGTTGGTGGGGACTTTGGGGCTAAGTAGGTAAGGGTTTCCCTCTTGTACGCGCCTGTCCTTTTCGAGACAAATGTCCAGGAGAGCAAACTACACAGTAGGAGTACGTGATTAGCACAACAACAACACTGCACGCACAAATCCCAACCACACAAACTCCCTCACACGCATTTCAAGCCAAACAAATCCTCCTCATCACACCCAGATACCCAGGTAATCCAAGTCTCAGCTGTTCAAAAATTGATTATTCCCCAATCTACAAAAGCTTCCTCGCATATATCCATTTCTTCATTTCTCCCCCAGTATCCCAACATAGGACGCGCCTCTGTCTCTCTCTTCGCCGCCCCCTTTGCTCCCAACCAGAGAAAATAATAATAACAGTAGTAATAATATCTTCGCCCGCTTCCATACCGCTATATGCGCGCGTCCATGGGATATACACAAAAGCTTTATGAACATTAGGATGAGTCCCCCACCCCCCCAAAAAAGTTATCAGTCAGAATGGCCACGTCCAAAAAAGAGCTCTCGTCTATATGCCTCAAGATTCAGCCTTTCTACAAGAAAACAAGGCCTCCCCTCCCGTGGCCCCTAAGCCCTCTCTTGTCCCTCCCTCCAGGATTCATCCTCCCTCCCTCTCAAGGAAACGGAAATCCCATGCCCTTCGTCTTAAACGACATCTCCAACTCCTTCTCCAGCGGAGTGACGTCGTAATCCGTATCCGGCGTCGCAGCCCCCAACTGGGCATCCCTCTCCACCGTCGGCGTCGTCTCAATCTTAACCCGCTCAATAATGCCCGACAGGCTCGTCGCCGTATCCGGGCGTTCAAAGTCCTCTTCATCGACGTCGAGGGTGGTGGGTATGCCCTGTGAGATGTTGTAATTGCGCTGCAGATATTGCTGCAGTCTGTATTCCTGCCGGGCCCAGCTTTCGTCCACGAGCCCGAGCGCGGCTTTGATGTCTTGGTCGGAGAGGCCGCAGGCGTGGGCTTGGGTTTTTGTGATGCGGCTGCCGACTTTGTTGGCCAGCCGGCTGCGGACAGAGTCGCTTTTTCCGGGGTGATGGACGGAGACTTCGTCGCGCATTTGCTTGACCTGGTCTTCTGTTTGCTTTAGCGCCATCTGCCGAGCTTCCTCCATGGTGGGCAGGTACAACAACGTGGTATTTCGGTGAAGCGCGTTGATGAGATCGGTGTAACCACTTAATGCGATACCGTTGTTTTCGCAGTACAGGTACTGTAGAGTTTTGTTGACTTTGAGAACATCGGCAAGCGTACTCGCGCCTTGCATGCCAAGCTTTTGGTCTATGATAAATCAGTATTGCACTCAGCCATACGACAGGTAGTACTTGCATCTGATATACAAAGCGCGCAATGTCGTGTTCTGTTGCAAGCCTCGTAGTGCCCGGTTCACTCCCACGCCCAGCTTCGTAGTCTCTAGACGTGAGTCTTCGCCTGAGATGTCCAACCACTCAAGGCTCTTATTCTGGGCGAACATCTTTTCCAGTGCCTGGCACGTCTCCTCAGAGGCATCGCATGGCAGCGATGCCCTTGAGATGTCTAATTGTCTGATTGTATTGTTCTCAGCGAGTGCAAGAATCATCTTGCGGAAGTCTGCTTCTTCCTCAAATTCCAGTAACCGAATCGTGAAACTTGATGGCGCAAGGCCACTTGAGATGGCTTTTGTCATCATACCAAGATCCTGCTCAAAGTTGTTTTCGCTGACATCGAGGTGGAGCTCGCGCGCCTTGCCTGGAGTCTCTGTCATTGAATGTAAGAGATAAGCCACATCTTTTCCAGTAAGGAAACAATGATCTAAGCGCAGCTCACGGAGCGCTTCCGACTGTTTATAATTAACCAGATATCTGTGCTTCTGTTAGAAGTCGGAGAACCACTTTGTATGACATCAACGTACCCTGCAATTGCGTCCACCATAGCGGCATTCAATGACGTGCCGCTTAATATCAATTCTTGTAATCTCCAGCCCTGGAACGTTTCCACAGATATAAGAGACTCCAATGCAGATGCTCGTGCAACGTGGGAGAGGTTCAACCGAGTCAGATATCCAAACACACCAATCTGAGAGTCGAAGATGGATGGGGAGAGGCGGAAGGGATTCGATGACAGATTAATGGCTTCTAGGGTGGTTTCTTGCGCACGAAGCGCATCAAGAATCAAAGACAATGCTCGATCCGTAAGCCCGCAGCCGCTCAACTCTAGACCGCGCAAGTGACAAGCGCGCTCGACAGCTGCTGCCACGAGATAGTCTAGATCAGTGTCACCAAGCTGAATGTTGTTCAACGCGATCCAATCGACATTTGTAGTCTGATACTTGCACAGAGGGAACAGAGCCTCCACAATACCACAGCCAATGTCTCTTGCGCTATCCCTTGCATCACCGTGGTCCTCCGGCTTTCTGTTAATACAAGATGTGAAATCAAGTCTCCGTAGTTTGCGGTTGCTCAGTGCCAAAGCGCGGATTTCTTGCACCAACAAGCACGAACGCCCCAGCTCTTCAGCATCTAGCCGAGCATATGTGCCTCGCTTAGTCTTTAAGCAAAGATGCTCGGCGCCGTATGGATCTCTCAACCCATTTAGAACATCAAGATGTACGTCTTTGAATGATATCGATGCGAAAGTTTCGTTGTATCGCAAGGAACGCATCACAGCTAGTAGCTCAAGAACGGTGTATTGATTTCTTCGCAGACCAGTTGGCCGTAGCAACTCAAACCGTGGAGCATCTTCATTGGGATAGGTGATCTGATAGCTGATATTCTCAGGTTGCAGGTCGTAGGCTACGCAGTAGCCTATCAGAGTGCGGTCCAGCGAGTCCTGGTCTATTGGATGTGGACTCGCTTGTCGAGAAATATCCTGGTGTACGTCGTCGGGTACAAGGTACTCGAAGGGACGTGACTCCCATTCGGGCCTCAGATGTCCCTCCATAGTTCGCAGGCGAAGAGCAATATCGCGTGATGCGAGAGAGGCCAAATGAAGCACTTTTGGTCGTTCCAGAGGTTTACTAGTACATGTCAATGTGGTCCATAGGGCCAGACAAATCGCGCTTACCGAAAGGTCAGCTGGAAGGTGTCGTCGACCTCACTAACCCTGACTTCGGTCAATGTCAAAATGCCATGCGAAGATTGCACATGATGTGAGCCCAACGATGGACTCGACGATCTCTGCGAAGCTCCCTTGAACAAGGGAATCAAATGTACTTTGTGCACACCAATCGCAAGAAAGCACACAGAGGCCGAGATCTTGGCTAGATCGTCAGATGAAGACCTGGTTGTAGTCTTGCCCTGTGGCCGAAGCACAACCTTGTAAATGGCATAGTGAGGCGGCACATAGTCCCGTTCGGCTTCCACCACGCGAGCTGCTTTGTGCGAATTATGAGCAGACAAGGGGTTCGCATCTGCCAGTCGCGAACGGTTCGCTGCTTGTCTAATCGTTCGGAGCCAGGCGAACATTTCCTCTGGGTCTCCAAACTGAAGCGTCATGGATGAAGCGTGGTTTGACTCTTCGTCCAGATAGAAGAGTTCTATGGCGAAATGTGGTCGCCCATCGTCCAGATGATAGACGGCGACAATGTGGCGCAAGGGTATACCATGGTGTCGGTCACCAGAGGATTCCGAAGCGAGAGATGCCAGATCATGGGACGATCCGATGGACGGGCTGTGGCTATGTCGGTAGGTACTATTGCGATTGTAGGGCGCAGGAATGCTGGAACCTAGTCAGCGGTACTCGACGTATGATTTCCTTGACACGGCGTCTCACCCGGGAAAAGCCTCTGCAGCCTTGGTGCTGCTCTTGAACCTGATCAGGTGCTTTTCGGTGAGCACCAGATATTCCTTCTTCTTCCTGAACATGGAGCTGCTGGTCTGCACCTCGCCGTGTTGGAGTACCTGGCGGTCGCGCACGTCTTCGGCCAGGTAGTCGCCCAGGTACATGGAGGCTCGCGTCGAGGTCGCCGACAGCGGCTCGTCATCTTCTGGCGTCAGATAGCCCTTGAAAGAGCTGAAGACGGAACTGGCGCGCTTGACGTTGCCTCGCGACATGTTTGGCCTGGGCGACGCAGGCGTTTCGATAATCGCATGGTTCTCGAACGACTTCTCCTCGGCAAAGGGCGAGACGTCGGACAGCGTGGACATGAAAGACGCTGTTCGCCGCTTGCGCAAGAGATTCGAGGGCTGCGAATCATCTTTGGTGCTCTGGATGCTCGTGAGGGCCGTCAGAGAGGTGCGCCCAAAAATGCTCCTGCGCTTGTCTGGCGACATGCCGAGCGACGAAGTGGGCGTGCGCCGCCCAGCACGAGCTCTGCGGGCAGGGCTATCGCATGCGGAGGCTGGCGCGCAGTCGGCGAAGCAATTGCCACGTTTCGAGGGGCGTCAGTGTGTTTGCGGAGTGGAGAGAGGCCGTGGTGGTATATCAATGTCGAAGATGGAGGTGGAGAGAGATCGACCAATCGGGACCGTTGCATCGGGTGAGGTCTTCTAGATGTATCTCCACGACCGCGATCATGACAGTGGGCAAGTACCTAGGTTCTGCCTACTACCACCTACTTGTACAGTACCTGCGGCGGAATCGCTTGCCCACGTGTGTTTCAATTTACGGGGCCGGGACTGGGCGGGGGAGAGGGGAAGGGAAAGTGTGAGTGGCACTGGCAGGCTTGTGATGGTCAGATCATGTCATTACAGGTTGTACACTATGCCCAGCGACCCGCGAATGCGCGCTGTTCGCATCTCAGTCTTCGGTCCGTTGCTATATCAGAGGGGCTATCGGTGGAGAGGGCTCCGCTGCCAGAACGCTTGTTCTGCAACGGCCACCAGGTTCAAACCTGGGACCCAGGCAGAAGAAGAACAGCGCGTCCCAATCGTGTGTGTATGTGTGTGTATGTGTGTGTGTGTGTCAAGGTAGCTAGGTAGAGCGGCGCAAGGCTTAGGCGACAAGGAGAAAAACAAGGCCGACAGATAACTGGCAGATGACAGGACCCGTTTGAGAAGATACGGTTCGGGTCATAGTGCATACAGAGTAAGTAGTGTAGTAGCACCTACCAAAGAAGACAAAAACATGTGTGCGCCCCGGTGGCAGAGCAAGCGGGTTGGTGAGTAGACAGTGGACAGTAGAGAGTAGAGAGTAGACTGTAGACTGTAGACAGTGGACAGTAGACGGTGGACAGTGGACGCAGTGGACGGTAGACAATGGACGCGAGCTCATGGTTACATGGCAATGCAGCTCCACGCGTCACTTTTGGCCGCAATCTGTGTAATCATACGTCAGCCCGCCCCGTCTGGGAAGGAGGTAAAGGGTGATCGAATCGCCAAGACGTGCTCTTCTTCAGCCACCACAGCCACCACAGCCACACAGCCACCGCAGCCTCACATCCATCGTACTAGGTTTCATAGGTTTCACAACTTTTCACTTCCGATGGCTTATGCACTGTGGCGCATGTCCCCCCTGTCAAAAACACTCCCCATGACACTCAACCAACACTCCTTCAACATCTCTTTCCTGTACCCTCGACTCCTTCTCCCTCCACCTTCCATTATCGCCATACTCATCATTTCTCTCCCCCCGCATTACCTACCCTTCTTACCCGCATTTCTTACGTCAAGGGTCTAACGAGATTGATGTGTTTCACCCACAGGACAGGAGATGAACCGTAATCAAAGTGTCATCCTCCGTGCATCTCGCAATAAAAAAAACCCCTTCACTCCTCGCCATCGTCCAAATCACGATCATCCCAATACTGACACAGCCTTCTCACCGTCGATCGAAGCATAATCTTGCCATAACTCTCACAACTTCTCTTGCCATGGCTTGCTTAACAAGAGCTTTGATGATGGCAATTCACAGAAGAATGCCGCTTTGTTCTCCCACTAGTGACAAAGCCAAGGCGACTATGTAGGTATCCATGTATCGCTTAATGTGTAAGAATAATATAAATGCAAAAGCAAAAATATACACCCGAGGGGATTCGCCAAGGGGCACCCACCTCACTACTACCGGTACTCCGCCGCTGCACTGCTCATCTATGACTGAGCGGACGCGAAGCCAAGTTATCTCCTAACAGCTCACCATCAAAGTCCTTACTTCTACCGCATACGTTAGTAATGGTGCGGGAACTGGGCAAGGAGCGCGCCTAATTAGCACTGATTACAGAATTCAGAGTATGTGTTGACAGCTACTACCTACCTACTAGTACGGGGGAGTCCAGCTTGGCACGAGTATTAAGGACTCAGGGTTCTCAAACCCAAAGGTTGGGCACCAACATCACCAGACTGTTTCTTCGTCTTGAGCTCATCGCTCATTTGACACTATAACACGGTGCGGTAAACTCGTACAGAACCAACCAAACGTCCACGTCAAAGAAAAATCAACAACAATCAGCACAAACTCAATTCAAGAAAACCCATCACCACAGCAGTACAACACATCTTTCATAGCTACAACGGTGCTACAGGCCACCACCCGCCCCTCCATATTGGTTTGATACCTGTAGAGCCGCCGTTGTAACACAAGAATATCTGCAAACGCAATGATACGAAATTAATAAACAGGCGCCAGGACGTTGACATCTGCAGTGTCATTAATACAGCTTACGGCAACAAAACTGTAGAGAAACTAATCAAGTCTCTGGTCAAACAGCTAAAGACAGTGTTAGGCACTAATAATGTTTACTATAGAATGGTACGCTAGGGGCTTACTACATATAGGCTGGCCGCTGGGTTAGGGTTGGGTAGGGGTAGGGTCTTACTTAAGCATAACCGTACTATACAGTGATCTTCCTCCCGACTCAGAGCATCTGCAAACCATAGCGCAACCATGGACCCAGCCAGTCAGGCACTGGCTCTAGATCTGCCCCCAAACGTGCGCAAGAGTATCTCTGCTCGAGCTCGATATGCTAATACTTTTGCATTGCCCGCCGACGAGTAACGAAACGCCCCGCCGAACCACCGAAAAAGAATTGGCCTCAAGGCTTCCGTCGCCGCCATCCAGAAATTAAGTTAAGGAGTAATAGAGCGATGCCTTGGGAGCGTCACGATAACAACATATACGATAAGGTTAAGAAATGGTTTAATGTGATCGAAAAGGAACTCCGTAGACCAGACGTCTTGCCTAAGAATGTCTACAATATGGATAAAACAGGCATCATGCTTTCTATGCTTGGTTCTGTTAAAGTCCTTGTAGGTAAGGATGATCGGCGAAGCTATAGAGGTGCTAGCGTGAAGCGCACGATGGTAACTGCCATCGAGTGTATATCCGCAAGCGGTGAGTATTTGAACCCAATGATTATCTGGCCAGCCACTACCCATAGGAGCAACTGGACAACGTTCCCCACTCCTGGATAGGCATACGCTTTATCTAAGTCAGGATACAACGACTCTTATATCAGTCTTAAGTGGATAAAACGAGTGTTTGATCCCCAAACAAAAGCTCGCGCTAATCAGAAGCCACAAATACTAATCTGCGATGGCTTTAGAACACACGAGACCCTTGAGGTCCTTGAGTTCTGCTTTAAGAACAACGTTATCCTATGTCGATTGCCCTCCCACACCTCCCACAAGCTACAGCCGTGTGACGTATCCGTTTTTGGCCCACTAAAGACGGCATATCAAGACAAAGTCGAACTACTATATCGCGGAGGTCTAACGACCATTAACAAAGAACATTTCACCACCATATACAGCCCAGCAAGGAAAAGGGCCATGACTAAGAAGAATATCCTTGCCGGCTGGGCAAAGACGGGACTCTTTCCGTTCAACCCACCAAGGGTTCTTCGTGACATCACGAAGCCTGACGCCCCACTGACTGTTGCTCTAATGACTGTTCCGATACCATGTGTAGATGCAAGTGATGTGATGTATCAGTAAGAAAAAAACGCATTTGGAATTGAAAGTAGCATAGGACTTTTCTTTGCCTCCTTTAGACTTACAAGGCTTATTCACTGCAAGTCCTGGATCCTAATAGCCTCGCAACCTACGCAATCTATCATAATGGCGTCACGTGGTAATTTTCTTGTGCGCTATATAAGAACGGAACTGCGCGGGGATGCTTCGGATGTTATTGGAGAGACTGTGGTGGGTGAGATTCATGGTTGTCCCATGTGGTAGGTACTCTCTGGAGCACTCCAATGATATGTGCAGGAAAGGCAGGGGTGGGTGCATATGAGTGAGCGAGCGTATCGGATAATTTCGGCTCCTTCAAAAGTCAAAGTGCACGGCATTTGAGTAGGTTTTTGAGATTGAATAGAAGGCTTTTTCATTGATGGTGAGTTGGATATATGTTTGTTGGCAAAGAAGACCTGAGAAGGTCCGCCAGTCGAACAAGGCTACAAGATTCCGCCGTGTAAAGCAAATATCGCTACAAGTGTTTCATGACCTTGGAAATTTCCCTGATGCTCGTCAGAATCTTGTTTGCAATTGTGAATTGCAAGGACTTACTCCTCGTGCAGAAGTCCAGAGACCATTTTCACAATACTATTCGTATCATTGGCTCTGTCTACTGCTGTGCCTCCATGTACAATTCATACTCGTAACTCGAGTACAGGAAAGGAGACACGCCCTTAAGATCATTCTCGAAAAGTGGTACGCTTGCGTAGTACTGAGTGAATTAGCAGATAGTCGCTAGCGTCCTTTGGTGATCTTACCTCAAAAGTGCCATTGGAGCTCAAGCTACCAGTCTGAGCGGTCCATCCCCAGACCAAGGCACCATCACTATCACGCTTGCTTGAAAATGTCTCCGTCATAAGCTCATATCCGCTGAGTGCTGCGTTGAGATACTTGTCGCCCTGGACGTATCCCATGCGCAAACTCTTCATTAGACCGTAAACGAACATGGCGGATCCCGAACTCTCAATGTAGTTACCAGACCTGGACTCAAAACCAGGGTCCATGACATTGTACCAGCCCTTGTATACGGGGTCCTGTGCGGCAACAATGGCATCTGCAAGAGAGTGGAGATACTTCAACAAGCGTGCGCGTCCTGGGTGGGTCTCAGGGAAGTAGTCGAGAGTGTCGACAAGCGCCATGATGTACCATCCTACAGCACGACCCCAAACGTGCGGTGCGGCACCAGTCTGGTTGTTCGCCCAGATTGACTTCTTGCTGACATCGAAACCGTGGACAGGTAGGCCATTGGTACGGTTTCGGTCCACGGTAGTTCCAGCGTCAATCAGATCGAATTGAAGGGCAATGTCGTCCCATGCGGTGGTGTTGTCAGGCTCGAACTCATGGGTCCAGCGTGCATAGAAGACGTCAAGCATGAAGATGCCGTCCAGCCACATCTGATCAATGTAGACTGGGTAGCGATGGTAGAAACCGCCATCTGGTGTGCGGAAAGTGCGATCGATCTGGTCACGCAAGACTTGTGCTGCTTTCTTGTAGATCTCATTGCCGTCTGTGAGGTTGTACATGTCTAGGAAAGTATGACCGAAGCGAATGTCATCAATTGAGTTGCTGTTGTTGTGCAAGAGGATATCTTCTCCATTCCATGCTGGGTAGAGCACATAGTCGGTATGATGCTTCACATAGTTTCTGTACTTCTCATCATGGGTACGGTCGTATGCACGTAGGATTCCCGAGAGATAGGACGAGACGGTATATGCAGTGGTTGGCTCAACACCGTGTTTGATCTGGGAGTCGGCCATCCATGTGAGATACCGTGGTTTGCCATGGAACTCCTGTGGCTCGATCTTCTCTTCCGGAGCAATTGTGAACCATCCATTTGGTAGATTGACTTTTGCGGATGCCAGGCTCACGCTGGCCAGCGCGCCGGTTGCGAACAGGAGAGACTTCATGGCAGTACAAGGTGTTCAGAATCAAGAGTTAAAGAAAGAAACCTGTGAGTTGATTTGGGCCACTACGAGCATCTTCTCCCTTCTTTATATATCCGCGTTTTCCATTCTAGTCAGTGGACACGGATATTCTCACTTCCTGGCCGGAGCAAATCCATTGACGAATGTGTACTTGGCCAGGTAACTTTTTGCATAGTACGAGTTGTTGCCTTGGCCCCAAGAGAACTTTCGAGTTTCCTTTCACGCGAGATTGTATGAATCGTATATCCGACATGGTTTCCGGAGTCCATGCAACCATGTATATGGACGGAAAAAATCGAGTGGGGACTGTGGAGTGGACCTTGGCAGATGCGGGGAAGGACCATGATGCAAGTCTTGCGAGCGACCTTGCAGGAGAATTCGGTCTCATCTAGAATTTGTGCCATATCTGAGCATGTGTACTGCTTCGAGATGGGAGAGAGAGTAAGCTTTGCTGAGTGATGAAAGGCATGGAAATCTTAAACTACCCATCGGACCGCGCCGATAGAAGTGGCCCGAATTACTGTGGAGAGGATTAGAGTGTACCAAAATCTTACGGCAACCGATGCTTGAAATGTACGATACCCAGAATGTCTTATTTAAGGGTAATTTTATATTAAAATCCCAAGAGATGCTAAGTTAAGACAGGCATGCAATTGCGTCAACACTTACCATTTCGAGCTGTGTCTAGTCAGTCGTCCACCGTCTCGGATTATCAAGTCATTGGTCGTGCTAAGTTACGTTACTCCAGTCTCCGCACGTAGTATCGGTATTGCTTCGGCTGTGGCTTGTTTGTTGATTACTATGGTAGTCCAGCCACGCCAGCCACTTCCGCCTAAAGTCAACTTAGTAACATAGCATGTCCCTAGTACGCATCGCCGCGGCACGGCAGTCCGTGCTTCTGGTGAGATTCTGAATGCAGACTGACATCACCCCATCGCCAGTGCGAAACATCAACAAAACTCGGCCATCGCACATCATCGCCGATTCATCTTGGACAATTTGTTCGATGATAAAGCGCACACGAATATGACGCGTCTAAATGGTAGTCTGGAGAAGGACGAGGAGACGAATCAAGCTGCATGGGAAGCAGCAAAGGGATCCCTGGTAGGAGCAACGAAGGTATGTCGTGTGTGCTTTTACAGTATTTTATGCATCCTGGACTGTGAGAGTCGGGGGTTTTGGGTGTTGGACACAGTATGCTTCCTTCGCTGAGAGAATTCTGCCGGTGGATCATTCAAGCTGCTTAATCCGTCGTGATGCGAACCTTGTATCAACCTGTCTGGTTCATACCGCGGAACAAGAGGCGATGTGATGCAGTAGCTGATGGATTTTGACAGTGGGGTGCCCTTTTCGCAGTCGGCGGTGGCATAGCATACGCCTTCTCACCATTCTATCGCAGCCTCACCGTGCAATTCAAAACGTTAGTTATTTCTCTCTCTTCCCAGCCAATTCAGCAGCAGAGAATAAAAAGTCGAGTGGTGGCTCTTATTCCGTTCACGCAACACGTACAATGATCGAATCACCCCATTGACCAATTCAGATATATCCAGATGTCGGGCATGATACTGGGCGGTATGCTGGAAGCCGATAAGCGTATGATCAACTACCAACATCAGGTACGGTACCAAAAGAGGCTCACAAGGGATATGGAAGTCTGGAGACAGTACGAAGAGAGCTTCGAGGAGCGAGGGACGCCAGGCGTTGGGGCTGAAAGCAAAGTGCAGAGACCGGATGGAAAAGATTAGGTTGAAGAAGGAATTGAACTTGAAGGTTTAGGGGAATGAAGAAGAATGATTATATTCGTGGAAAATATTGAATATTGCGCATCACGGCTGCCGTGGGCACTCATGTGACGCAATGCAAAGCCTATGAGATCGAGTAGAGACATGTCGTGTACTGTCTGAATGGCATACCGGTAGAGTCGCAGCAATGGTGCATGTGATGGTAAAACAGAGAAACAAGCCCACCGATGGCCATCTATAGTGAACAGCACTCTTTGGCGCCGTATTTACCGGGTTTCCTCCTCCTCCTGGTCCCCCTCCTCCTCGTCATCCTCTACCCCAATTCTCCAAAACGGGACAACTTTCTCGAACCTGGCCATTGATGCCTGCTGGATTGGCCAATGACGTGGGGCGTGTTTGTAGCGCGTCGGGCTTAACGTGATCCACCACCGAGCGCCCACCCCCACTGAGCGCCCACTAACACTAAAATTACTAAATTTTTAACACTAAATTTCTTAATAACTATAGCACCTATTAATAACGCGCTTATAGTAATTAAATCCTTAACTCTTAAAGAAGATTTTATATACTTAGAAATAGTAGAAAAGTATAGTTACTTATAGTTAACCTTATCTAGATACTACTAGAAAATTTAGTAAGTATATACTACTACTTTACTAAATAGTTAAATACTTAATACTATATAAGAAAGTAAGCTTATAAAGTATATTAAAGAGCTTTATAAGTAAGGATTACCCTTTATATAGACTATTATTTAAAATTTTATAACTAAAATAATAGGGAATCTAGTAGGTAAAAATTAGGTATAGCGCTTTATTAACTACTATAATATTAATCTTATCTCCTATTAGGCTACTAGGCTTAATTATAACTACTTTAAAGCTAATTCTACCTTTAAGTATAGCTTATACTTTAAGCTTTTATACTAAAAAATAGAGTAATATAATATTAAGAGTTAGTATATTTATAATATAGATAAGAAGGGTTTTCTTATTAAAGTACTATTAAAAACTAAATATATATTTAATAAGAGCGCCTATAAGTAGAGAAAGATTAGAGCTATACTCTAGGATAGTAATAGGGAGTAGATTACTACTATAGCTTATATATGCGCTAATAGTACTACTCTTACCTTTACTCTTATTTATTAGTCCTAATCTAGAGCTTTATAGGATACCTAGTTATAAGATTTTAACCTATTATAATACTAAGCTTTCTTTATAGGATTACTAAGTAGGTAGATAAGCTATACCCTAGGGGTATCCTAGCTTAAGGAGGTGTTTAATTATAAGATAAAAGCTAAAGCTTATACTTTATACTAGCTCCTTATCTTTAATAGCTATAGATCTTATATAATAATAAAGTTTATTAAGTACTATAATAAATATAAGATTCTACTTATAATATATCCCCCTTATAGCACTTATACCCTTTAGCTACTTAATATTATAGTATTTACTCCCTTTATAGCTTTATATAAAGCTTAACTATCTAGTTTTCTAGATAGCTTTTAAGGGCTTATAAGTATTACTAAGAGGGATTTCTACTAGTTATTTAATACTGTTGCAGGAGGGATATTAACCGGATCACGGAGCATCTTGATCCAATTAATCCCGATTAATACCCCTGTATGACCCACTATCTAATTAACTGCTAGCTTACTGCCAAGTGCCTAATAAAAAGCAGGAGCTCTAGTAAGGAAGGTTTACTAATTATTCACCTTCTAGTAAGGGTAGCTGAAGCTCTATATATATAAGTACGATTATAGTAGATATAATCTAATAATCTATCTCCTAAATTATTCCTAACCTTAGTAATCTAAATTTCTATAGTTATAAGCCTAGTTCGCGCTTTACCTTATTAAAGATTGTCCTATCTATTTAAGCGTATTATTTAACTTAGACACTAAGCTAGCAAGCTTTACTCTTTATACTATTTCTTAAGCAGAAGCTTACTTATTACTCTTCTACTATAAGTAACTAAATTCTAAAGGGGGATATCCTACTTACTAGATTAACTAACTAGCCTACCTAGTACATTTAATTTAGATACTATACCCTAACTAAAGGGATCTAGGTAGAGGTAGACCCTAAGGCTCTAGATACTAAAAACTACTTTAAGAATAAACCTATTAAGCCTAATATGCTAATAGATATCGCGCTATCTAATATAATAAGCAAGTAGTACAAGCTCTAAATAGCTTAGTACTAAGCCTGCTTATTAGATTAGGTATTAAAGTTATTAGTAATCTAGAACCTCTTTATATAGGTTAATAATATAGTAGATTAAGGGATCCTTACCCTAGCCTATATAGAGCTTATTAATTAAGGAAGAGTAACCCTCTAAGCACTAATCTAAGTGCTCTACAATAACCTAGCGCTAACTAATTTAAGCGCTGTAACACTAGCAAGATTATAGTATAAAGCTTATCTTACTAAGGCAAAGATAAGTAGCTAAGACGCTAATTACTAGTAGAAGGAGTGGATAATCCTATATACGCGAGCTAAGGTATACAACATTCCTAATATTAAAGGATAGCTTATAGTATAGGATTATCTTAAAGCTCTATCTACTAGGATCTTACTAGATTAGGGTTAAACTATGTTTTAAAGGATTATTAAAAAGTTAGTAATAGGAGAGCTAACTTATAACCTCCTATAGGTTACTAAGATCTATTTATTACTTCTCTAAGAAAACAACATAAGATTAAGCTCTAAGGGTCCTAGAGTGTTTATAATAATAGGAGCTCTACCTTCTAACTAACCTAAGAAGGAGTCTTTATGCCTATATAGTAGATCTTACCTATAGAAACCTCCTAAATGCAAAAACGTTATTAAAGCTTAGACTAATATAGGTAATAAGCTTACTACTACTTAATAATTAGAGATTAAGAAAAAGATTAATAGGAATCTAAAATTTAAAGAGTTAAGAAAAGCTCTAATTAAGTCCTATCCTAATAATTAAGATTATAGTAGTAAGGCAATAACGACAACCTATCAAGGTAGTATCTAGCTAGCACTAATTAACCTAATTTTAATACTAGAGAAAACGAACAGGATCTATTTAAGCATAGACTTTAAAGCTTACGCTCTATTAAAGAGCACTATCTTTAATAATAGGGGTGCAGTGCACCTAGTTAATAATATAAGCTACCTAGAAGAAAGCTTGTTTAGATTAGTTAAATATAAGATAGTTAAAGCAGGAACTTAAGCTTTTCTAATCTTAGGCAGAGGGACTAGAGTAATCCCTAATGCTCTTAATAGACCAAGAGGTCCAAAAACAGAAGATTTAGTGCTTACTAACGTGGTATTAGTAGAAGGTTTTTATATAAATATTATATTAGAAGCTTAATTGCTTAAAGCAGGAGTTTAGTTCCTTAGGCTAGATACTACCTTGTAGTTTAGATTATTAGAGAACAGCGTTATATTAGCTAAGTTACTGCGCAAGTTTAACTTAACTTTCCTAGAATACAAGCCCTCTACCCCTTATTAAATAATCTAAAGCATAGTGCCTAAATAACCCTAACGATCCTAGACAACTCACCTAAGACACGATAGTAAGGAGCTTTAGCACTAACAATTAGGCTATTTAGGACCTAAGGCGCTTAAAGCTCTAGTTAAGTTAGTAATAAATATTAGGATTAAAGGAACTCCTAGGAGCAAATGCGAGCACTGCGCTATTACACATGCCTAATAGGTTATATTAAGATAACTAAGGGAAAGATTACTATATCTATACTACTAGGTATTATAGGATCTATTTAACATGCTAACAGGTATAGCTTACAAGCAATAGATCTTAGTATTAAAGTGCGACTACTTAGGAAAGCTTTATACCTATCTACTACAAGCTAAAAACCTTAATAAGATTATACAGGTGTTTAAAAATTTTAAGAGCTTAATACTTAAATAATATAAGCTTAGCATAGTTAAGATTATGCAAGATAATAACACTGCAACGCTCCCTTAGCGTAGCAAATCTCGCTTTTAGATCTAGGTAGCTAATAATAGTATTAAAACTAAGAGCTTACCTGTATATACCTATAAACCTAATAGAGGAGTAGAAAGAGTAGGGCAGGAGATTATAACAAAATTAATTAAAATAAGGATTAGTGCTAACCTACTAACAAAGCTCTAGCCTAAAATTGTCAAAGTAGCAACTTAGCTCTATAATATAAGCCTGTCCTATGCTTATAATATAATATCACCTAATAAAGTGCTAGATTGTTAGTTTACTAGATACTTTAGGTAGTGGCAACTAGAGCAGATAAGGGAGGTAACTACTAATCTCTGCCCTAATTAGAGTAGAATATACGCCTATAGCTATTAAGCTTACCCCCTTAATAGAGATTAAGTAGCTAGGCGTTATAAGAGGGTTTTTAAGGTGAACCCTTAGGGTTATATTAGATATCTAGTAGGATACAGAGCATCTAATATATATAGGATATAGATCCCCTTACTTAATTAAATTATTATAATATAGAATATTACCTTTAATAAGGATCTTTTCTATAAAGAGAAAGATCTAGAGTAGCTTTAATAGTTAGAAGCTTAAAAGATAGTTAATATTATTAGTAAAGATAAGATCTGCAATATAGGAGAAGTATATAAAGAGCTTAATATCTTTAATTAGCTTTATATTATAGTAGAGTAATATAAGGAGTCTAGTAAGCAAGGAGGGCTAAACCTAGCGTAGGAGCTAGGGGGTAGGGTAGAGCTAGAGGAGGTAGATAATTAGGCTAGCTAGCCTAGTGATTCACAACCCCCTAAGCAGACACCTCTAGCGTAGGTACTAAGCACGGCTAGCTTGGCACAAAGGATCTATAGTCAAAGTTCGCCCTAAGCTAATCAGCGGCTCTAAACTCCTAAACTAACACTAGAACTAAACTTTAGTATAAGAGATAAAGGATCTATACAGGTTATAGATTAGGGTCTTACTACCTAAGATAGTAGTAATCTAACTTACTTTAACGCTATAATAGGTAGCTCCTAGGAAAGACCTAG